CAGAGGGCTCTGCCTCCTGCATTCCACCTAGGACCCTAAGGCGGGCCCTTAGATGCTCATCTGACGGTAATTTAATGCCTAAAACCCCTGATTTATGGGGGCTCTGCCCGCTGGACCCCACGCCAAATATTGTCCTGCCAGTGTCACAAAATAATAAGGTATCAACAAAATGTTCATCTGACTGTAATTAAACGCCTAAAACCCCTGAGCTTCCGGGGGCTCTGCCCCCTGGACCCAACCAACTGAACCAAGAGCCCTAAGGTGAGCCCCTTGATACTCATCTGACCGTAATTAAATGCCTAAAACTCCTGAACTTCCGGGGCTCTGCCCCCTGGACCCCACCTAGGGCCCTAAGGCGGACCCCTGAATGCTAATCTGATCGTAAATTATTGCCTTAAACCCCTGAGCTTCCGGGGCGGACAAGGTATCAACATATGTTCATCTGACAGCAGGCGCGTAGCCAGGGGGGGGGGGGGTGAGGTGCGCAGGAAGGTGGGGTGGAACTTAATTCAGACAAGGATTAAGAGTCGAGAATGGTACAACGAATCGTCTTCTTGCTCTAATGATTTAATGAAACGTAAAAGCTTCCGCGCTTCGCGTGGGAGGGGAGGGGGAACTGAATTTAGACGAGGATTAAAATTCATAACGGTATAACGAATCGTCTTCTTTCGCTAATGATTTATTGAAACGTAAAAGCTTCCGCGCTTCGTGCGGGAGGGGGGAAATAAATTCAGATGAGGATTATTTTCGAGAACGGTACAACAAATTGTCTTCTTTCTCTAATGATTTAATGAAACGTAAAAGCTTCTGCGCTTTACGCGGGAGGGGGAAACTGAAGTTAGACGAAGATTAAGAGTCGATAACGACACAACGAATCGTCTTCTTTCTCTAATGATTTAATGAAACGTAAAAGCTTCTGCGCTTCGCGCGGGAGGGGGGAAACTGAAGTTAGACGAAGATTAAGAGTCGATAACGACACAACGAATCGTCTTCTTTCTCCAATGATTTAATAAAACGTAAAAGCTCCCGCGCTTTGCGCGGGAGGGGGGGGGGGGACATAATTCAGACGAGGATTATTTTGGGGAACGGTACAACGAATCGCCTTCTTTCTTTAATAATTTATTGAAATGTCGAAACTTCCGCGCTTCGCGGAGGAGGTAGGGTAAAAACTCGCCCCTCCCTGCACCCCCCCCCCCCCCCATTACGTCACTGCTGGTCACCATTACGTACCAATATTTGGCTCGCATAATTTCAAATTTGGGCCTCCCCCCTAATAAATCCTGGATCCGCGCCTGCCCCACCCAACCTCTGGTGGTTATGACCCATGCTATAGCATCGCTTCCCTACCTAAAAAAATGAAAAAAGGGTAAAATGTTTATTCATACAAATATCCACTTTTATTTTAAGTACAACTTTTAAGAGGGAAGTCCCTCCTAATAATAAGTTACTTTAATAAAATCTGAAAAAGAAAGAAACAGGCCAGTGATAGTTTGAGTAACAACGGATTAAAAGTAAGAAAGTTTTACATTCTTGAAGGTGCAATCATCAAACAGAAAGTTACAACTCTAATATAACGCATCTTGCGAGCTCCCCCCCCCCCCTCCCCATTTGCCATGAAGCTGTACTATATCTATATTTAAAACAACTTCAACAAATATTTTTTTCCCTTAAGAACATTTTCAATCATTCTTATTCATCCCAAATATAATTATTTTGTATATGTTTACATACAACCCCTTTATGAAATAAATCTATTAATTCCGTCATCAATAACTAACAAACTGAAAGTTTAATATGAACATTTCTATACTGATCAAAGTCGAGAGGAGCTTCCAAGATAAGCCTGTTAATTGCAAGGTCAGACGATGAATTTGTTTGTTGCATTATTTTGTTCAACTCCTAGGTCGTTATCACTTTTGTATCTTCCTATCATTATCTCGTCATTTAGCCATAATCATGTATTCAAGTTCCAGTTCCAGTTATTTTCTTTATGCTAAAAAGGCTTCCGATTTTGTTTCAAAACTGGGATACGGGGGATTTGCATAAATGCGGGCGTATGATATCAGGAGTTAAGCCAGATATTCAAGATTCAAGATTCAAGATTTTATTTTCCATATAAAATACAGAAATTTGTTTACCGAGGGGGCACTGGCAACATTGAAATTACTGTGTAGTAAATTCGAATTTAAAAGACCACCATTGAACTGGGAATGGTTATTTCCTATAGATCATTAACCCCCCCCCCCCTCCCCTCGCTCTCCTCCTCTCTTTCTCTCTCTCTCTCCTCTTTCTCTCTCTTTCTTTCTCTCTCCCTCACTCACCCTCCCTCGATTCCTCTGTCCCCCCTCTCTCTCTCCCTTTCTCTCTATCTCTCACCCACACACACACGCACAAACACAAATAACTTCCTCCATTTTTTTATAAATTTATCTTAATTACCTACCTTCATTTTCGCCATGCGATTTAGGGGCATGTCCCCACCCCATGACCCCCCCCCCTTCCTCCCCCAACTTACTCTGCAACTGGAATGACTGAATCCAACAAGTCCAACAAGTATCTGGCAAACAAGAGACCCCCAAAAAAATTATAAATCGTGTAGGCCGGAGCTTAATTGGTACATGAAGTTTGAAAGGGGGCACGCGCGCGCCCCTATGCCCCCCCCCCTTACCACCCTACACGTAGTGCACGGCGGCCATTGATGAGATGATCTTGTTGATATATTTCCTTCATATCCCTCAAGAAAGCAAACAAGATCGTACCGCAGAATGGAATCAGGCCGTCCGCCAATTATCGGATGCTCTGAATAGTTGTGCGTCTCAAATATCTCAGAACATGTCTCATACGTCTCATCAGAAGGGTACGCAGGATTTTTTCGAGGGACGGGGGGGGGGGGGGGGGGGGGGGAGGTTAAAATTTGAAAATCGCGTGGCGACTCGGCCAGCCACTGAATAAGCGGGAGGGGGGGGGGGGGGGTAAAGAACATTTTTTTGTTTGGTCCAGTTTTTGAGGATAAATTTCGCAACGACTCAGCCAGCCGGTAAAAGAAATTTGAGGGGGGGGGGGGGGGGTTCCTCCTAATGACTGACTGGTTGTGGTGGTGGTCGTTATTTTACCTGACTGCTATAAAGCATAAATGCTTGTAAGTAAGCAACCAGACGGTCTAAACACACACATTAAAAAAAAACATTGAGGGGGGTATCCCCCCCCCCCTGCGTACGCGCCTGCGTCTCATACGTATCTCACGATGTTTCCATTTAGTTTCAGATAAGACTCTAAAGCATCATTTTCCTGTTTACCACCACCACCACCCAATGACAACCGCTCACATCATAATGAACTGGAGATTACAGCTCAATCTCGATCGAAAAGGTAAAGAAAAAGTATCTTAAGATTTCAAGGAAAAACTTCATAGGGCAACCTCGTTTGTTCTCTCTCCCTCTCTCTCTCTCTCTCTCTCTCTCTCTCTCTCTCTCTCTCTCTCCTCCCCTCTCTCTCTCTCTCTCTCACACTCATTGATTGATCGAGGGTTTTACGACTTTTTTCGTCCCTTTCCAAAGCCATAAATAAAAAAGATTATGAATGGGAATCAACAATTTATTATCATATTTTAAAATTTGTAGCATGAAGTCTAACTGATCGAGTGCGAAGGCGAGGGTTTTAGACTCGAGACGAAAATCGAAAAGGTGATAAAGGGAGATCTCTATCTAATCACACCACCACTCCTGTCACAGGTCCAATACCCCGATAAACCATTGTGTACTCTTGCTGGCATTCAAATCATATTTACATTACATGGGTGTAAAGTCCAGCAACACAAACAGATATCTCAAATAACACACAGTCTCACCCCAACGCATTTACAATTATTTCTTCTTTTTCTTCTCCTTTCCCCTTTATTTCGCCTTTCTAACCTAACTCGCTGCTTTATTTCCTCCATTTATACATTCTTCATGATACAATATATTTTTCGTTTTAATTTCCCCCTTCTTTGTTACGTTCTACTCGATCTAGTTAGTTTTCCTCCCAGTGATAACCCGGTACTTGTTATACTAGTAGCTGTAGAGACAAAATATGGACACATTCAATGCCCCTTTCATAGCACCGACAGACAAAAATATGCTTATTGTTCTTATTTTGAGAAGAACAAATCATTTTAGTCAGCAGGTACAAGAGATCGGGCATAAAGCAGATCTAATGTTATATAGAAAGAGAGATATCTGTCAAGGATGGGGTAACGTGTAAACATGTACTTCGGAATTTCTTGGTAAAGATAAAACTCTGAAAGAAACGGATCTTACTTTGCTATAGTTTGATTCTCTTTGGTTCTCTCTCACCCTCTACATCTCTCTCTACCCCTCTCTCTGTCTCTGTCTCTCTCTCTCTCTCTCTCTCTGTCTCTCTCTCTGTCTCTCTCTGTCTCTCTCTCCCTCTCTCTGTCTCTCTGTCTCTCTCTATGTCTCTCTCTGTCTCTGCCTCCACTTATTGCTTTTTCTCCTAAGAAAGGGGAGGATACTTTACACCAATGCCAAAATAGGTCCCGTTTGTTCGCCCACATACCCATGCCTACAATGTATTAGATGTCTGACTCTATGGACTAGCTGCTTGATGCCAGGGGGCTAGATGGTAGAATGGGGATATCAATTAGGTCCCCCCTGCCCCTCCCCCTGCCCCCCCCAAAAAAATCATAATAGCTATTGGCATGCATAGTTAAGAAACTGCTAGTCAGTGGACTTATTGCTTGCTCGCGATTTTCGTAAGAGGAAAACATTTATTGTCCGGGGGGGGGGGGGGATTGTTAGATTGTCATTTTGCATAAACTGCTATAGAAATAGAAACTTATCGGCAAGCACGAGGGTCTACTTTACCCCCCCCCCCTTTTTTTTTTCTTCTTTTAAATAAATCTCCTAGCGACACCCCTGCATGAGTCAGGACCTTGTCTCGCAATGTAAACAGACCTTTACCACTACAGTGATACCGTGAACAGTAAATCAGCATGTACATTCCTACTGCTGTTCGTTTCACATCCATTATATGACATGATGTTGCTCTGCATGAGCACCGATGATGCACACCGCGTCAATATTTTCTCATTGGGTTGAAGTTCGTGACTTTTCTTTTTCGTAGAACGTGAGGGGATATAATAAATAGCTTGACTTGTATCCGTATATAGACTGAGGTGTATATACTCGAGATTGTCTGTTTGGATATTGCACAGTGTCGTTTTCATTATTGGCCTCATATCGCTATGCTTCACTCCTGGGCTTTTCTCGGATAGCAACGCTCATCTCGATCGACACCACGTCCCAAAATGGCCGGAATCTGGAATTTAAACGTCGTGCCGTTTTTTGTTTTATCTGCCTTCGCTGTACTCTTGACATCGGGATACAATTTTGGTGAGACTTAGAAATATTGAAGTTGGCTTCATGTAGACTTATTGAAAATGAGCCGCTCGTTTCATTATTGTGCACTAAATATATGAAATATGATGTAAATCCTATAGTGTATAGTTACTTTATTTTTTCCTCATTTTCATTCATAACAGCGGTAGGCAGTCCTCTTTTTGTTCGCAATAAGCGCGATCGCAAAGACTTTCAAGAAATAAAGTAAGGACTAATTTCAAAAGCCCATTGTATTGCCTGTAAGAATCAAATTAATATTCCATATTGTAGTAGTTCTGTATGATTTGTATTGTTTGCACATTTCGAAAAATTGACGCAAAAGGCCATTATGGATTGCCTTTGCATGGCTGATTTTTGTTTGGTTGTTGTTGCAATGTAGGGAATTGTCTTGGTTGTGATCGAGTAGAGCAACAGTCTAAATCGCGTATAAGTCATTCAATGAAATCACACGGATCGCCGTTTAAGGCTTCGCTGGTTTCTGTAAACACAAATGATTGTCCATTCTCGTCTTGATCTGGATTTTTTTTTTATCGTTTTCTTTTGTTTGAGGAACATTGGGTTGACTCAAACTAAATCGAGGACAGACATCTAAATTTTCATTGACTGAGATAAGAAAACAAATACCATATACCTTAATAAGGTTTGCTTATCGCCATAACATGACGAGCGAGGCTATAAATGTTGATCTAATGTATGCAAATGTGGAATAAGCTGCTAACGAAGTTGCAGTTTTAATGATGGATTAGTGTTCAATTTTCATTTTCTTCGTTTTATCTCGCTTTATCTCAATGTAACTATATCGATATCATATTTGTCCATCTATCTTTTTATCAAATAATTAATTATAAATCTCTGTTTATCTTTACACACAACCATCTGTCTGTATATCAATTTTCCCTTTTCCATATTTGTCCACGTCTGTCTATCCAGTGGCGTATGCAGGATTTTTTCAAGGGGGGGGGGGGGGTAAAATCGGGCCAAAAAAAATTCGCAACGACTCAACCAATCGCTGAATAAGCGGGAGGGGGGGGGGGGGGGGGGGGGGGGGGGGTAAGAGGACATTTTTTTTTTGTTGGGTCCCGAAATTTGAAATTTTGACCCATCGATATTCCGTTGGGGGGGGGTAAGGTCATCTTTTTTAGGGCATCTATAAGGATTTTTGTATCCTTAAAAAAAAAAAAAAAAAAAAAAAAAAAAAAAAAAAAAAAACCTCAAAGGGGGGGGGGGGGGTTTAACCCCAACCCCAACCCCAACCCCCCCCCCCGTGCGTACGCGCCTGTGTCTATCTGTCTGCCATTATTCTGTGTCATCCATTGTTATTCCCAGCGTGCAATCGATTTTACACCATCGAAGCCAATCAATAGTATGTAGTTTTCATGACAACGCATAATCCTATCCTATCCTTAATGCAATTCGATTATTAAAAGGAAAATACATTATGCATGTGTCATTTTCCTAGTTGTGCAATTTTCTGGATTTGCCAATGAGCGGGGAATTAGATGACGACGTTGGCCATTACTCGTAGGGGGGGGGGGGCTGTCATACTCTTTTACCTTATACAATAGAAAACATTCTCATAAGTCATGTATGTCCTCAATATTGCCTGTAAGCCTTATATGACACCATCAATCTTCAACAATAGAATGAAACCCAAATGATTTACATACAATCGTTATGACTATATACAGTGTAGCTCATCGGGTCGTTCCCATTGTTTGTTTATTAGCTCTTATGAAGGGAGTATATAGTCACAGATGACAAACTATCTTGTATGTACACTGACCTGAAAGGTAAGTACACAGAGATGCTACAATGCATGTAGACAATACCTGATTATCATGACCATCCGGATACACTGCAAGAATTGAACGTGATATAATATATATCAATATACCTTTAATCCATAGTTTACAAACCCCTTGTAACAAAAAGAACAAAATATTTTCTTCTTTTTTCTTTTAATTTTACTACCTGGAAGACGATGATAAAAGTTACATGGTTTAAAATGACCTTGATATGTCATAGTATATAGCAATTATTCGATTGGATTAATTACAAATTTATTTGGAATCCATTACATCTATATCAGACTATGTCTGTCTATGTATACTCTCATCATTCTATATCTCATTACTCGCTCTCACCTTGCTTTCTCCATCAGACTTTCACATTCCCTTCCAACCGCCACACCCTTCTCTCTCTCTCTCTCTCTCTCTCTCTCTCTCTCTCTCTCTCTCTCTCTCTCTCTCTCTCTCTCTCTCTCTCTCTCTCCTTTTATCCCCTCTGTATTTCAAAGTAAAGTGTTTGAAGATTTATGACTTCCATTAAAACATTATAAAATGGAGTTCTATTCATACCCGAAATTTAGTATCTGCGTTGAATTAATTATGTGCGCATTTCGGCACCTGCTATAATGAAATAATAATTATTTACCCAGTATCATTAACATTTTGTTATCTCATTTTCATAATAAGTCGCTATATCCATCCTGCTCTCTTTGTCTCACAGTCCCCCTCACGACCCCCTCTCCTCTCCCTGCTACCTCCTCATCCTTCCTTCCTCCCTCCCTCCTCCTCCTCATCCCGCCTCCTCTTCCCGTCCCTCCTCCTCCCCTCCCGTCCCTCCTCCCTCCCTTCCCACAATTCCCTCCACCACCCTCTCTTCTTGATTAATTGATGTCAGACTCCTGTTTGATAAGATATCGAACCTTCACTCGGCCATGCTTGACGTTTTACTGGTTGTCAGTTTATTTGTTAATTACAGGACAAGCTTGTTCTACAACGATGATGACTGAGTACGATTCTAATATTGATTACAATGCTAGTACAGAGTATGACCATAGTTCATGACTCTATACTCTCTATGCGTGAACGTCGTTATAGGCGGTTAAGTTCATAAAGCACGTTCTGCCTTTCGCCAAAGTTTAAACGCCGACTATTGTCGATATGTATAATTACTCCAGTGTAGTTAACAGCATTTTCACAGGATGAGGAGGTTGGTAAACGAAAGCTGTGTAAAATTAATTCAATATATATTATTATCATTTCATGACTGTATTCCTTTTAGTTTCCGAATTATACAACAATTTATACAGAATGAGGAGCTTAGTTTTGATTGATTGATTTAAAACACTTATTTAACTTAAGATTAACCTGACCAGGGCCCCGTTGCATAAACATTTACTAATGATGGTAACTGTGCCATCCATATAAACTACCATAGCAATCACTAAACAGCCAATCAAATCAGTGTTTTCATGGAAGTTACCATTAATATCAAAGTTACCATCATTGCTAAGTTTTATGCAACGGGGCCCAGGTCTATACTATTCGCCCGCCTATAACACGAGCCATAGACTTAAGAGATAACCCATGTGATTATATAGCCAACGGGTCCAACGGTCCATGAGACCGACAATCTCAGACTGGTTGGCTTCCTGACAACTTTGAGTGTTCACTAGACCGACTGCACTCGAGTCTCGAGACCGACATCCACTATAGACTGAAAGCCCGCTTGACCAAGGGCCGTGCACGAGATCGACATGGGTTTCTAGGACACCTACCCCCTGGACATTCACCCCCCGGATAACCACCCCTAGTCAAATACCCCCAGGAAAACTACCCCCGGACAGCTACCCCCAGACAACTACCCCCGGACAACTACCCCCTGGACAACTACCCACGGACAACTACCCCGGACAACTACCCCCAGACAACTACCCCCTAGACAACTACCCCGGACAACTACCCCCCAGACAACTACCCCCTTCGACAACCATCCTCTAGGACAAATATCCCCGGACAACTATCCCAGGGGTAGTTGTCTGGGGCTAGTTGTCCGGGGGTAGGTGAAATGCAGTCAAACCTGACTTAGTGTGGACACCTCTCTATACATGCCACCTGTCATAAGTGGCAATGTATTTTGTCTCCCTCGAAAAAGAAATGTCTGTTGTAGAACCTGTCTAGAAAGGCCACGTGTCTACATTGGTCACTCTCTCCGTTTCCCTTGGATGGCCTCAATAGACAGGATTGACTGTATCCGGGTATTTGGACATCATGATGTACATAAGCTTGCTTTACAAACACAACCTCAATACAGCAACAGAAAAACTGATAGCAACAAATCGTGTAGTTTAATCTATATTAAGGAGCTTCAAACACGAATCTTTGTTGCCATGGTAACCCCTCCAAGTAGCAGGCCAGTGAGCATGGTGTATTACTACGAACACAATATTAGGTTTGAGGCACGCGCACCTTGCTCGCCTTAGAAGCTTTATGACCCGTACGACACTTATCAAATCTAATTTCCCTCTTACATGCATAGGTTGGTAAAATTTGCCTTTAATTTGACAGCCATGCAGGTGCATTAAAGAAATTAAATTTCCTAAAATTAAATCGGCCGAAAATTCAGGATGACTTGGATTTATAGCAACATAGGTGTATACACTTACAAATCTCAACCTGTATATTTAAGCCAGGAAACTTCGATATTCATAAACATGTATATTTCTATTTATAGTGAATATTTGGGATCATGTGTCCGTCATAGTAAGAAAGCTTTCGGCGGAGTAATGAAATTACTGATAATAGAATTGCTTTAGGCTAACCTTACTTGCTCGTTTCTCAATCGCGCTAGGTAAATCGGAGAATTCTCTCCAGTCCTGTGCACAGGTTCATCCTTGTAAAATAGACCGGCAAGTCATGTGGACTTGTAATTTTAATGACATGTGCAGAAAAATGAATTACAATCTTTAATTCAGTTTATCCCCTCCTCTCTCTCTCTCTCTGTCTCGCTCTCTCTCTCTCTCTCTCTCGCACTCTCTCCCTCTCTCTCCATCCCCTCTCTCCCTTTTTCATCAGATATCGAATTTCTCAAACGAGCCATGAAAATTGTAATGTGAGAGAACTTTGATATTGTGAAAGCATTTAGTTGTACCATTTCAAATGAAACCATGCTTGGAAAAAGAAAAAGAAAGAAGAAAAAAAAAATCAACAAAATCAACAACAACAAATAATCAAATTTTACGAGGATTTCCAATAATCCTCGTGTAATATCGAACCTATAGTTAGTTTGAATAAGTTTCTTTGCAATCCGGGATTACCATACCATCAGTCATGTTTTTACCCAAGTAATGATAGTGATGATAATAATTTGTTTTCCCCAGGGGAAGCCACATCATCTGCAATGATGTTTTTCTTGAGGGCCCTGTAATAATCATTAGACTAACGATGTGAATAAATATTATTAATGGAAAATACGTGTAATGATAGTCATTATTACACAGAAAAGCTTCATCAGCATCAATGCTGTTCTTCCTGAAGGTCCTGCAATTATTGTTATTACCCCAGCAGTTACCATATACCAATTTACACCTGGGTGGAGAGTGGCATTTGTGGATTAATGTTTTGCCAAAGAATAATAGTGCCGGGCTGAGATTCGACCCTACATCCTTGGATTGAGAGTCAAGTGAATGAACCACTATACCCCGACACTGCACCGCACGTATATTGTTGCAGATTCAACATGAAGTTATTTTTCTCTTATATCCATCATTGTGTATCCTGTATAATTGAAGCAGGAACGAATGAACAGTCAGACCAACAAACAATTACGTACAGTCAAATCGATATGATTCTATATCTAGCGCAAGATATGAACACGTTGGTATTCCCTATAATTATGCATAGTGTACTATTATTATCATAATCATTTCCTCTGGTTACCGGCATGGCTAAATATTAATTGTCCAGCTGAGCTGTGATTATGTCAGTAAGTCCTGTATACCATACTCTATCTAGCCTTCTTGAGGACCCCCTGTTGATCGGTGCTGATGATGGTTGCATGCTTTATCGACCAACCAGTTCATTAATTTCCCCCATCGGGCCATTAATGTCTAATTTGGAGATGAATGGCTTTGTGACGTCACGATAGCAGCATCTATCCAGCTTCTTAATGATTGTCTCATCACGACTGAAGGTCTCGGTAAACGGCGCTGCGTGTAAAAAGCATAATTATTCTTCTTTCTGTTTGGGGTTCAACTTTAATTGAATTTTCAGATGTACAATTAACATTTCCAAACAAGAGATCCTAGATCTGACATAGCTACATTGTTTCGTTAATGTATCCAATGTTTCAATGCCACTCTGATGAATATTAGGCGTTTACGATACCATCTTTAACGAGTTTATAATCATGATATTAAATACCCTTGTAATTTGAAATGTTGAGATTTTTAAGGCGCCATCCACTTAAAATCAAATGCTCAAGGGCAAGGCGCACTTGTGCAAAACAAAAATAACATATCAAAATGTACCTGGAGAAAAACTTAGTAAGCACTACATTATACTACGTTTGAGCTTACTCCTCAATATAATTGATTTGATTGATTTGATTTATTTATTTCTGTTTGATTTTCTTTTTCTTTTGCATTTTTACAAATATATAACAAACAAATATTGCAAATTTACACATGACAAAAGAATATATGTAGAATAAAGTAAGGCTGGGTGTAACTAATCGAGAACATCAAACAGGAGGGTTGACAAAATAAGCAAAGCTTGATAGTATGACTACCCTCAAAGGATACATAATAATACAATATGGAGGAACAAAATATTGGTAAAAGGGGGAAAAGACAGAAAAAAAGAAGAGAAAAGAAAGAGGGGATGCACATAAATATTCACAGACTTATGTGGTAGTTGGATTTCAAATTGATATATAAAGATTTAAAAAAAAGAAAAGAAAAGCAAATTTGAATACTGAGTGGCCAACTTGGGATACAATAGAATGAGAAGACTCGCGAGGTTCGGACAGTAAGAATGTGAAAGTAAGATCAGCCAGCTGGTTTTAAACCTGGGCCTGCGAGTCGGAGCCTTGAAACGTTTGTATAGAAGACAGTGTTTATTCAGTATCCCAAGAAGGCCACTCTTTATTCATACGTGTATTCATACCAGGTCATAATCCAGATCTTGATTGCATTATATAATGATAATCATACCTCAGTCACACCGACAAACGAACTTCAGACCGATTCTTGGCCATTTTCGTTCGGTCCGTTGTTGGTATGGTGTCGGTCTTGTCAGTGTGACTAATCGTGGACCTACTAGTCCCTGGACTAATGTATTATATTCCTTCGTGGATCAACTCGGGTACCTTCTGCTATCCTCTCGATCCGCCCCCCCCCCCACCCCAACTCTCATATTTCGGTTACGCCACTGAAGCATTGAGCTGTACAGCAATAACCTGTCCTCCATACGATCGGCACCATTTAGAATTAGATAGACACAGGTAAACGTAATCTACGCTATACCAAGAATACCAAGATGTTTCCACATTTGAATGCGTTTTCCGTGTTTTAATGACATTTACTTTTCATGACAGTAATTGGGTTTTGCCAAATTTGTAAAAACGTTTAAGCGGAGAGTGTCACAGACAAAAACAGACGGACACACAGTCAGAGGACGAAAATATTATGTGAACTGAAACCAACAGGTGCCCATTATCTGAATATGTTGAAAAATGGACAAAGAGAATGGTACGATTAGTTTCAAGATTTTATTTCTCAACTCCAATTACAAATTGCACTTATTCATAAATAAACTGCGAATGAAAGTATTAAACATGCATTGCATACGTATTGACACCTGATAGCGCACATCTGCTTGTTTACTGTTTTTGCACGAAAGGGACACAAATTCTTATCAAACAATTTATAACACCAAAATCGATAAACAACAATATGAAGTGATTTATTTTGCATTTCAAACCATCATAATTATGCTGTTAGTTTAGTAATACTCCCGCACAATGTTATAATCCTCTCAATAAAATTTAACCGGCCGAATATTAAGCATTAATTTATTTAGATTTTTTTCTTCATTTTACCATGTTTGGTAGTTGTGTGTGGGTGTGCGCGTGTGGGTCAAGATTAACCCTGTACAATGCTATTTTTGGCATTATGTTGACACTATTAAAAAGTACACTTACTGTAATACAATGTAATGATTTCTTTTTGTGTGTGTTATATTGTCAAGCAAACTTACGCATTAAAAAAACATTAATCATGTAAATTTATTGAATATTAACCAGGACATTTCTTTTGCTTTGTTTCGAAACAGATACGGGTCGAAGCGATGATGCATACGGTCGTCGATTCATCGTCGTTCTTCCTGTCGAAAAGGATACCAGTATACCAACGGTTCACGACATATACCTGTCTTCAAGAAGTAGGTGTGTACACCAAATGCAATTACCACTTAACCCGCCTCCATGTGATTGGGTGACCAATGCTTGATTTTATGAAAATGTTACTTAGGAATGTGATATTTAATCCATGATTTCTCATATTCTACACCAATACATTTAGTTCAATTATTACTAACGGACAGCAACATTTTAGACTTCAAATTGGTGCAAGTAAAACAAATAATTGTCAAAGAGTTCTGGAGCTATCGCAATCTTAGAATTTGATGTCAGATCGGGATGCGCCGCGTGCAACTTAAAGATAAACTTGAGTTCTGGTGAAAAAAAAGAAAATTAGTTCTCACAGAATCAAACGAAACTTACACTGAATGTTCAAGATTACAAATAAATGACATGTGCCAAACAACTTTGAAAGAAAATGTGTGCTGGCTGAGTAATGAGCATAGAAAGATAAGGAAATCAAGGTAGTACTATAGCCCGACACCGTTGTGTAGTCCCATATACATCTTTCTGTGTACAGTGCTTGTTACTTTACCAAGACTGGGCCAAGTTTCTTATCATTTTGATGATTCCAGAACCTTGCAGTGCACACCAGTACTTACATGCTACATGATCAACTGTTTCTTATCCATTCCACACCTTTGCTTTCACAATGCAATCGCATGACCAGAATGACTCACCTTTATCTTTAAGAAAATATCATAAAAATAACGGTACCTTTGTTCGTGCACTGGAGTTACAAATGACTTATCAATGATATACCTATGAAGATAAATTCATTATTTGCAAAGCAAACTATCACACAATCAGTAGGTATGAATCTCTCAACGTTACCTTCAGGCGTGGTATCAAACATCAAAAAGGAAATGCAGTGCATTTTAAAATATATTTATCACACAGCTGACGTTGACTACAAATTGTGAAAGCTACACCTTTCTTCTTTTTTTAATCTCTTTTTGTCCTTCTCCATTAAATCAATTTTGTTCTTCTCTCGACCTATCATAATCCCTATCATAAAGCCATATTGACACCCATATATTATGCAGGCTTATCCATTTGGGAAGATTATAACCATAACGTTTTACGAAAACGTATATGCTTGTGGTAGGGTCAAAGGGACTTATGGCTGCTTTAAGTCCTATCCCAATTATATTGTGTTTTAGTTTTAGGAACTGATGTCTAGTATAATGTCATAGTATCAACGCAAATTGGTCTCAAAATCTGGTACATTCAATATCCACGACAACTGTTGTAAGTTTTAAAGGCTTAAAAGTTCCCTGTTAACAGTGGGTGTAATTTTTATCTTCTGAAAAAGAAATTCTTTTCTAGGGAATTTCTTAAGTTTAGTGTGTGAAATATTATTTGGATACCTCTTTGATAAGAAGTGATAACGACCCATTTAGATAAATTACTGTTAGTTATATGTAACTTGTGGATATGCCTATTCCTTTTAGAATATCAGAAGCATGTTTAGTAGTCGCTTTATCTATTCAAATCAATTTTTTTCTCCACAAATGCCAAATATAAGCAAATACATACAATAAAGAATAGAACATGTACAGCATAATATAGAGTGACTCCATATGGAACAATGTATGTTCTAAAAAGACAAAAATAAGCGAATGTAGAAGGGGTAGTCAAAAATCAAAAATGATTTTTCGAGAAATACCCCCCAAAGTAAAACGAAATTATACGATTAAAAGTAAGTATAAGGTCAAATGATGAGGTGGTACCAATAACGAGAAAGAAGAGGGAGAAAATATCGAAGACAGAGAAAAGACATTTCAAGCACTGTCATCGTCATCATGCCTTCCCCAATCAAAATCCATGTGGCTCTATCCACGTAACCCCCATCAGCCTAGTTCCCAAATCTTTAGTAGATGTTGAAATACCGGAGAATTGTTCCGCCCGACCTCGAGACAGTCATTAACTATAGTCTTCATCAACGCCTATCTAGATTGATGCACGCAGGCAGTGTTACCATGGCAATCCGCATCCACTCATAGCCAGGTGCCCAGCGGAGCAAGAAGGAGCGTGATCGAAAAATCATCTGCGCTTAAAGATGATGTCGAGTACTAGTCATACCTTTGGCTTTGCATTGGAAGAAACTGCCTAGAAGACATTCAGAATATAAATGTGTGTGTGTAAATATATTTATATATATATATATATCGGACTATTTATTTATAGTCCGATAAGAAGTCCTTGTGTTAATGAAAATAAAAACTGTTGGATTTAAAGCATGAAACTTACCCTCTTTAATATATACAATTATATAGTAATAATGTATATCTATTTTTATATGCATTTTACAATACATGAATTATAAAAAAATAATTCAGACGAATCGACTTTCATAATTAATTTAATTCGGACGATAAAAATGTATTTATTATGAGGGAATAATGCATTAAACATTCGTCTTATCTACGTTTCTTGGTAGACTCTAATTAGGGAATACTAACCGATTCAGTCCTGTTCACGCCATAGTGAGTTTAAGTTTTCTAAGAATGGTTGATATAATAGGAGTAGTTGTGTCATTGTGTGAAGGTTTGCAGTCACCGCCATCACCTGATCAAACTGACTCAATAATGATGAAAGCGATAAATTACCTAATCACAGATGTGGGTATATAGGACTATACTCAAGATATATTTATGACTTCAACAACCAGGTCCGAAGGATTAACATTATTTGTCATAGGCTATGTATAATATGAGAGCACAGCAAGATAGAACAGTGACGTTCATGTGACAAAGCTGCTGTTCTTTCAAATAGGGAGAAAAAGAATATTAGAAATTCACGAACAAATTGTCAGTTTTACCAGAATCCAACCATCCTTCTCTTGAAGTTCCTCTGGCGAGTATTCCAAAATGATAACCAATATTAATTAAAAAAAACTTGTAAACATAAGGATATAGAGGAAAGGGGCATAAATAGGATAAGATAATGGGAAGGATATAGAAAGAAAAAAAGAGAACGGATTTAGAATTACGAGTTGTGAAATATTTCTTCTGATGCCATCCTTCCTACAATTCACACAAGACAGTTACAAGTGGTTTAAAGTTAATGAGACGTGCTGAAGCCGAGTGAGAGGGACGATAATATCTAAAGCAGCTTGGTAGCTAATAAGAGATTCTTATTCAAGATAATCCTTCATTCGTTGGAGAATTTAGTTTAAAGGGATGCATTAATTTGTGTTTAACAGAGAATACTACTTACGCGAGTGGTTATTCACGATGTTTAATCATGGACCTACTAGGTCTAGGGTGTAATTCACATGACTTATATGCTAATATGAAAATACATTATGGTAATTTACACCAAAAAAAAAAGAAAAGAAGAAGGATTTTAAAAAATGTGAAAAACATTTACAACATGATGAAAGATACAACATGCCGTTTTTAATAATTATGCGTTTTAAATAAATTAAGAGTTATAACGGCCTCTGGCATCTTTCTAATATAATAAATAATCACTCCAGCGAAATATACAATTATACACCCATACAGGCCACCACTACTGGATATAGCATAATTAAGTCAAGAAATGATTATAAACAAAGGAAGGATATGATATCGAGTTAAGCGAGCTCAACTTATCCCCCTCTCTCTCTCTGTCTGTCTCTGTCTGTCTCTGTCTGTCTCTGTGCCTGTATGTTTGTCTGTCTCTATCTATCTCTCTTTCTATCTCTTTCTCTCTCTCTCTCTCTCTCTCCATCTCTACTGTTACCTTCCTCTTGTCAAGTTTGTTTGGCTTATTAAATAAAATATATGAACCAATGGCCAAACGTCAAAGCAAACGACTTCCGTTCGCACGACACTATTATCTCGACTGTTTGGAGCCAGAAGGGCATTAAATACAGAGTTAACAGATTTTGGCTCGAAACAGACGATATTTACTTATCTTTATCAGTGATTTACGTCCTTTTCACTATTCTCCTCCCTTTGTCAAATAAATACATTCTCTTTATCTCTCTCTCTCTCTCTCTCTCTCTCCCTGATTCATTTCCTCTTTTCCATATTGAGTTGTTCCAATAGTCTGTATACCTTTAATACGATTGAACTCAGATATTTATGTTTCCTTTGTTGTACATCGTACTTTTTTTTAATTTTTTTTTTTACATAGATTGAATTTATTAACAGGCCTCCAGCATTTCATTACATTCAAATGATAAATCAATTTATTCAGATACATTGTATTTACAACGTCATTTATTTCATGTTACTTAAAATGCCTTTTTCATTGATGAAGCTGTCGATATTCATGTAGTCAGCCCAATATCGGCAGTTTTAGTTATACTGATTGGCATATCTACATCGTACAATTTCATTTGGAAAACGGACGTTTTTGGAGGACAAACTGATGTCCTCCGTAAGTTGCTCACGAGCCACATGAGTTAAGATGTCCGACCTTCCACCCTCACTCCACGTGATGCCAAATCATAGAAACCCTGTGTAGAGATTTGAAATATTTTAGTTTAATCTCTTCAAAATCAAATAAAACTCCCCATGAAATACTTCAGATTTACGACCGTAATTCATGCAATAACTGTACTTTTAGTGACCCCGCTTCCCCCTCCTCTTTTAAAAATTGAAAAATAGGGGTGACATGCCTTGAACTTTTTGCAAATAATTATCCAAGAAATATAGGACGATCAGATAGGTCAGTGGACTTCCCATGCAACGTCAAAACGTGATGATATAAATGATGTAGAATTTGCGTGTGTACTTGTCCTCAAATATTTGATTTAATTTGATTTGAAATGGTTTTTTGATTAAAAAAACATTCAATAGCAGCCAGAGGCTGAAACAAAATTGAATTTACAAAAGATACATACAAAAACATAGAAATATAAATGGCAATTCACAATAAATAATCAAGGATATGAAAGAAAGAGAAACAAGAGAAGGGATTGAAACGGATGACTAGAGGATAATTGAAGGAGAACGATCTCGTAACAGAAGCAGGCACGTAGCCAGAGTTCGATGTTTGGGGGGGGGGGGGGCACATACACGTAATCGATCGAGGTAAATACACGTACATATCCATATACCGACTCCAGGGGGGGGTGTTTCACAAAGATGCTAAGTCGAAGTTAACTCTAAGTTGGACTTGAAAATTATGGACAGCCATTGGAGCCTTAAAATGAAATATATTCAAAAGGAGAAATTCAAGTATTTTAGACTTTTTTTTATAAATTCCACATCCAGAATATGAAACCTCCTTGATAATAGAAAATATAAATGATTTGAATCAACATTTTATGCTTTATAAAATAACTTTTACGAAATATTTTCAATGATGCTAACGGCTTTCCATAATTGTTAAGTCCAACTTAGAGATAAGTTCAACTTATGATCTTTGTGAAACACCCCCCAGGTCTGTTGTCGGCCCGGTGTCGGCCTAGTTGATGTGACTATAGTATGTAAAGTTTGAAAATGAAGATTGACGATAATTTCTGCAACACTCATATGTTGTCTTGTTTCCTCTCCTTTGTTATCACAGCAAAATCGTGCAGGTTAATGCCTCTAGACCCGACACGAAGTGGAAGGCGCCCGGCATCACCACGATCCAACCGGGAATCATCGCAAACGTCACCCTCAACATGAAAGGGCCATACAGGACCCCCTTCAATCCGAATGGAATACCAATCCAAATCGACGCGCACGAAGACATCGGGGTGTGGGTCGTCCTTGGTCGTGGGAATTCCATTCTTGGAGGCTACAGGGCGATCCCCCTTGCAGCACTCGCAAAACATTACGTCTCCGTTATGTACCCGTCTTCCAAATACGCATCAGAGATAGTCCTATTTTCTCCAGCCAATGAACGCAATGAAATCTACTTTTATCACCAGAATGCAGATATGGGGATGACGATCGACAACGTGACCGATGCGGTCCACACTGTCCCGGATTTGCCTGTAGTGTTCACAATTCCGAAAATGGATTCGGCGAAGATTGTTTCTTCTTCTTCAGATCTGAGCGGATTAAAAATGGCAGCTTCCAAGCCAATATTGGTGACGTCTGGACGCAATTGCAGCACGTCCCCTCAAGCTTGCAACGACCTCATGGAACAGCCAGCTCCACTGGGGACGTGGGGACAGTCATTCGTCATTGTCCCCCAGATCACAAATGGACCGTCTATTCTGAAACTGAGAATCATTCCTGCCTTCTTGGACCAAAACACCACAGTCTCCACGTATACCTCTTCAGGCTTCCTCAAGGAAAACTGGACAATGAATGAAGAAGAAGTTTTTAGAGACATCGATGTCACAGCAGGCAGGTTGTTCACTATCAGGGCCACCAAACCCATCATGGTCACCCAGTTCTTTACGGACAAGCAAAGACGGTTAGACTACGCGGCCATGGCCAATCTTCCACCCGTTGAACAATTCACCAATCGGACAGTCGTCTTCCCTGTTCAAAATCATCACAAATTCAACAATACGTTGGTAGTCATCACTCGATGTGAGCACAGGAAGGACATTCTCCTCAACAACAAAGACATTTCGAACAAGTATTCAGCAAGTGTAAAATTTAACTCGATCCAGGACTCGTCCGTGCATGGGACATACTGTGTTTTCAACACTACATTGCTATCAGGGTCGCATGCTTTAAAACTCAGAAGCAACTCAAACATTGGTGCGGCATATTCAGCCATCGTGTACGGTGCAGGAACAAAAGAAGCATATGCTTATCAGGTAGCAGCAGATCTGCAGGAGATTGTCTGTGGTACGGAAGGTGGTCATGTCAGTCTATGTGAGTTCTACACTCCTCCAGATTATATTACGCCCTCTACGAATGAGACCAGTAAAAGTAAATCTGGAGATCCAAATAGCAAAACAGGTAACTGCTAAGACGCTGTAACTTTGAAATTTATTGAATTGATTGAATCATTACATCTTAATTAATTAATTAATTAATTAATGTAATTTATTCACGGCATAAGTCTCCATTATCATCCGATTAATTTGTCCAAGACAAGAAGTTATGTAGGCTTTAATTATTTTGTCTGCCCGGTAAAAATAAGTTCGGCAAGACTCTCATCTAAGAGATATCTTCTGGTCTGTGCGAATCAAAACACAGGAAAGTTATCGGTAAGGAATGAAATTTGACAGTGAACAATAAATGTATCATTTTTCGGAAAACGCTAGCATTCAAGAGTAATCTTTCTAAGGAGTGTGTTCTCCCTTGACAGGTGTAGGCCTATTTAAAATTTGATTAGGATTTTTTTTTAAACCGCTTTTTGCATTAACTGCACGTTTCAAGGAAGCAATCGCTCACTTATTACTACATCTGAAGTTTGAGAAATTGCAAAAAGAAATCTTTATCATTTTCAAACCAGACCATTCTTGCCATTTACATATATATTTTTATTTATCCATCACCCAACCCCCCCCCCTCTCTCTCTATCCCCCTCTCTCCCTCGCTCTCTCTATCTCTATGTTCCTCTGTCATCCTCTCGCCACAGAACCAGATCATACCATCGCGATCGTCGTGGTCTTAGTCATCCTCTCATCTCTAGTAATAATCATCGTCGTAATTGTCGTCTTGGGAAGTTACGGCAAGGACAAGTAAGTAATTATGAAAGACATAGGGAAATTATTTCCGGATCATTGTAACTTATTAATATGATAATCATAATGACAGACAGTGACGTACGTATGTGAATGGGGGAAAAAAAAAGGGGGGGGGGGAGTTAAGGTGTGGTAAATGCGTTAAGTGCATGGGTGGCATAAATCTTCAAGTACACATTCAATTCTGAAATGAATTTGGTTAACTAACATTATATATACACCCACACACAAACGCACACAGACGCCCACGCACACATTTAAGCGCCAATACCGAAATCAAACAAACAAATAAATAATTTAATTGATAAATGAAACGAAGAACAACTTGAAAATGAACCTTTCCCTACCCCCCCCCCCCCCAACAAAAATGAGACTCGGGCAAATTAAAATACTATTATTAATTTTTCGCCCTTGAATTTGCCAATCTCCATACTAACGCATCTCTCTCTCTCTCTCTCTGTACGCCTATTTGGTTTATGATTTAACCCCACCCCCTTATGTTTCTTCTTCTCTCTCTCTCTCTCTCTCTCTTCCACTCTCTCTCTCACTCTCTCTTGCTACCTATTTTCTCTCCTTTTTTAAAAATTTCTTCTCCAGGGGCGGACCTCGGGTAGCGTGGCGGAGGTTGCAGAATACCGAGATGCACTACGATCCATCGTACGACGAGGATAATGTGGAGGTCGATGTCTGAAACCACTATAGGCTCATTCACGCTATGAAGCGGTTAACTGCTGCGGTTTTTTTTAACGTGTGAATGTGCACAACAAAGGTCCAGGGCCCCGTTGCATAAACCATTATGAAACTTCCATGGAAATCGTATACATGATTCGATTGGCTGTTGAATGATGTTGCCATGGTAGTTAATATAGATGGCAAAGTTACCAGCAGTGTTAAGTTTTTATGTCACAGGGCCCATAAATGTGAAGCTTATTACACGTCCATCATAACAAAAAATATTTTTAAAACACCGCCGTTGTTTACCGCGTCATATTCGAACGAGGCTGTATGCGTCGATTGTGGAATGCAAAATGACTTTGCCTTATGCCAGTATGCGCAACTAGCTTCTAAATCTTATGTAGCATCAAGCACATCCAATTAACTGGTGCTAATAATTATTATTAGACAATCAAAATCAATTCAAGCCAACATTATCCAGCCTTCTCATCGCTACATCAACAGCGCGGGATTAACCCCATTCAGAATGCACAGCTCATACGAATTTTCGAAGTTATACTCGACAACAACACGATAAAAGTTATTATCGCGTGAATTGTGTATAGCGAAACAGATGCTTGGGCATTGTTTCAAACGAAAGCTCTATTGAGGATCACGTCTTTAGGCGGGGGTGCATTCAGACGGGGAGGTATACGCCGTTTCGTACTTAAACTGTACATGATAAGTCATTTAGATATTCTCGTGTATTGTGAAACGAGATATATTAATACTTCGTTCAGACAGCAGCAGGTTTGGGCACCGATAAATCGAGACAGGATCATGGATGACTGATCCATTCAGATAAGGGAAACAAAACCTTCTGACCACTCTAACGTTAAGCCAAGCGGACATACGTTTTTGCATCGTTTTGAATAACAACTCGAGAAAGGATGAGAGATAAGTACCAGCAATCCCCTTCAGACATTTAGTTGTATACGATAATAAAATTCCAATGTGAACGATGTATAGAGAATAGAAGAATGAAAATAATGCTTCGTTTAGCCAAGCGGAGGTTTGTGCATTGGTTCGACGAGAAAGGTTTTGACTCGTGGTGTGAATGTCCTGGCAGCCGACGGAGTAGGCAGGTGCCCTGCTCCACGCGGGCAGGTGAAGATTAGGGGATTCGTATAAAGGCATCATGTTTCTGTAAGCTGATCGTGACCATGCACTAGAGGCTAAACAACAATTCGATCTAATTCTTGTCCTGACACTTCATCCCCCTCCCCCCCCCCCCCAGAATGGCAGGAATGAGACCCCTTATTTTATTTAGTCAATGTCAGATATTCCTCAAGGAAAATGACCCCCCCCCCCCCAAGGATCAGATCGAGACCCGAATCGGGCCTCACTTGAAATCGTCGTTTGTTCAACGAACAAGACGGGTTTTGCCGTCATAAAGATACCATTTTAAGGTACGTCTTTTGCATAACAACATCATACATTATACAGATCGAGGGGAAAAACGTGTCATTTCGAATAATTGTGTTATTGATGTTATCTTGCCACTAGGTGATATACGACGGGTAATTCAAATCAGCTTTAGATTAAGACTCAATTACCCAACCACTAGTAGCTAGGCCTGTATGTTCCTCCATAGTTCTGGATGTGACAGGTACTCATAGCACCTTTATATATTTGTTATAATCGTAGTAAAAAAAACCTCTGAACGAAATACAGTATAATTTGAGTAATAATAGTTGGAGCAAAATCCGATTAAAAATAAGAATATTATGATTTTTGAAGTTGCGATAAATCAAACACAATGTGGCAACTCTGTGACGTAGGCTATGTTGCGAGGTTCCCTCTCGTTTGCTATGTACTAACAAAATTAGATATTTTTATTTCCCTGAACAAAATTTATACATACATGTACTCTAAATTCCCATTGTTTTACCCATGAGTTGACGCCTATAAAGCGTAGTTGGTTCCTTTTTGTTGTTGAAGGGGCATTTCCCTCTTGAGAAATCCAAAAATGTTTTCCAAGTACAGGGGTTATTAAGTGCAATGGACATAATTGCGTATTATAACCAGTACAACATAGGTGGGTTGTTGTATTGGTATTTCTTATATGAATGTTTATAAAATATTTAAATGATATGTATATAACATATATGACAAAAAATAAAATAAAAGTTGTTTATTATTCCTGTTGTTGAAGCAGGAATCTTATTGGGGCAAATTTCTTTGTTTCTATTTGTTTCAATAAGTATTTTTTGTTGGTACAAATACTATACACTAGTATCACACCAAAAACATGCTACAAGTTGGAAGTTTATAAGTGACAAGTTTGTGTTTGACAAATAAAAAAAAAAGTATTTTCTAACACTCCTTTTACCGTTTATCAACTCGACCCAATGTTTTTACAAATGTTTCCACTTTCATTCTTTTGTAATTATAATGAATACAGGAAAATGAATATATATGAAAGCCAAACGATTATCATCAAGGTTCAAATGGTGCATGTTTATTCAGTAAACACATCAGAATTATGTCATTCCATCAACATTTTACTGGCAAGATTTGACATTTAAAACGACTGATTTTGTACATAATTGAATATCAACTCCCTTACAAATTAATATTGTTTAAATCTCGTTTGGATAGACCTTTAGTACATTAGTTCTTCCCTTAGATCTTGTGTAAATTAACATTTTCGCAATCTCTCCTTTTCAACTTAGCTTGTGACAAATTACAACATTTACTGTTATGAATGGATGACTATTTTATACAGGCATCATTTTAAATACCTCCTTTGTATGTTTGACAAAGTTAAAGTAAACATTTTATGTAGCAAGATATACCTTTTTTCATCATAAAATACATTCAATTGAAATGTATGAAAGTGGAGTTACATAAAATCTGCATGGCCCATATTCGACTAAAAATGTAAACCCGATGCTGGATTTAATAATGGAATTAGAACGAGGTCTAAATTTCCATTTGTTAACTTTATACAAGAATTAATTCCAGCATCAGATTCAACTATATGAATTAGTAGAATACAGGCACTGGATTACAAATTTAACTTACTATTAAGATATGAAAAAGGTCAGAAAATGTGACTTTGCAAATCTATGTGGACTTATGAAACAAAAGATTATACTATTTCTAAATATATCACTATGATTCTTTGACAGTCATCATTGGTAAATAAAAGTTATGTGTGTGATTTATACAATGTAGTTAAAAGACTCTACAGAGTCAGATATATTGAAAAATATAATAAATTGAACTCAACAGTGGTAAAATGTCTCTTGTACGTTATTTCTAATGTCTCAACTGACTCGCTGGCATCCCCCATATTTGTAAAGCGCCAAAAGACATTTTGTATTAAGCGCTATATAAAAATTAAATATTATTATTATAAATGTAGTCAGTTTAGGGTGAAATATAACAAATTAATCATGATTGAAAGTTTTGAATACAATGTTACCCATACGGTTGCAATAAATTTGTCTTACCTCTTTTCACAACATTATTGGGACAACATGATTTATTCCTCATAGATATCTTCGCATATCTATGACTCTTTACATTGATCAATACAGATCTGAGAAGATTGCAAATTAGGCAAATTCATTCAGATTTCCTGAGCAACAGTGTATACAATGTGTAATTAGAAGTTTGTTCAGTTGACATAAGCTTTATGTATATACCTTGTAACCATGTGAAAAAAAAAATCTATTTGTGTGGACAATAAAACAATTTTCAAATGAAATTTGGCAAAATCAGTCCACAAATTTAAAATCTCCCGAGATTTCTTTTAAATTATTCCTCTACCCAAGTCAAAGGCAATTATTGTCTGTTTGAAGTCATAGGGGCGTTAACTCATATATTTTAGCATAGAGTTAAAGTACAAGTCCACTCCAAAATAACTTACTCTCAATAAGAGCAGAAAAATCAGACAAACCAATTAAAAAAAGTTTACGCAAAATCAGATAACTAATAAGAAAGTTATGAATTTTTGATAAAGTATGTAAAACTATGGAACAATGGAAATCACTACACATTTTGCCAATTTGTTTATCAGTTTGTGACGTCATGTCCTCACTATTTACCAATTGCTTGATATAGTTTGATCCCTGGAGCTGGAGTTTATCAAACGTGAGGGGGCGATTTTCAGGGTACACATTATGACATACATTGAACCATCAGATAATTTAACATTGTTAGTAAAACTGGAACTAAACCAACATGAACCTGTCAGAGAATTTGTAAATCTATGATTCGCTATGAAAAGAAAATAAACAAAATTATATTAGCTACCTTACCAAAAGTCACATCAACAGAGCTAAGTAGAAATATAATCAACTTTTCACGATATTCCAATCTTTAACTGTTCTATTTCATCCTTTGCTTGAAAAAACATTTATTAGAATATGTCATAAAAATGCTTAAAAAATAAAAATCATGTGGGGCTACAAGATATTTACAATATCACTACTTGAACAAAACATTAAGAACCCATTTCAAATGACTGCTTTGTTGTAATATTGGAATCAATGACATATTTGGCAAAATTACAATATCATCATATTCCTTACAGTGTCAAAACGTTTATAAAAATGTTTTAAAAATACAAATTCTGTTAAAGCTGTTTTCAATCATTGATACTTTTTCTCAATGGTCAGTTTGATGCAAACTTTGTTTTTAATTTCACAATAGATTAAACCACTTTGAATTTCAAAATAAATCTTTTTTATCAATGATTTTTAATGAAATAACATTTTATTAGGCAACTGAAACCACCAACAGTACTCAAAAGCATCATTTGTCATCAGGATTCCTCAAACATTTGTTAAATCAACCATTTCTAACATTTATAACTAGCACGTTTCACATCAACATACGAACATGAGATGGGATGAAATTGTTAAGAGCCCACTAATATCTTGAAAGTTTTTTTTGTGTTGTTAAATGCTAAACATTTCAAAGTTAATGGCCTTCCTTGTTTCATTCTCCCTCCTCTCTTTCTCTCTCTCTCTCTCTCTCTCTTGTTTATCACCTCTCTCCTTCTCTTCTCTCTCTCTCCCTCCCTCTATAGGTCTGTCAGACTGTCTCTCTCTGTACATCTGGTTGTCTTTCTGTCTGTCTGTCTGTCTGTCCATCTCTCTCTCTCTCTCTCTCGCTTGTATATCACGTCTCCCCTTTTCTTCTTTCTATCTCTCTCTCTCTTGTTTATCACATCTCCCCTTCATTTCTCACTCTCTCTCTCTCTCAGATTGTAGGTCTGTCTCTGTCTCTGTCTCTCTCCTTCTGGTTTCCCCTGCAAGGGAATCCTGGATCGAACACCCAAGTAAAATGAATATTCCATGTTTTATATCATTCTATTTCTTCCTTCTACCTCTCTATCTCTCTCTTCTTCTCTCATCTGCCATGCCTTTACTGTATCTCTCTATTTCCTCCCTACTAGCTTAAAGACACATAAGAGTGGGCTCTCATGGAAAATTTGACGCCCAGGCGGGTGGTTTTACTCAATAATAGGTGTTGTCAAACACAAGGATTAGCCTTCTGTTTTATGACCAACAAGCCTCATGTAGTCCTTCCCAGTTCCACAAATGAAAAAGTAAGTTTTCACTTTTCCCTCACCCCAAGACCCTCTAAGAGACGAGTGGTATTTCTTGATAGGCCTACGGGTTCGCTGTACGTGTGTCGATTAGTACACACGTTTGTAGTATCCATCAAGTCTGGTGGTGGCAAATTAGGCCCTCCTGCACATGGAAAATGACAACCCACTCCCTTTAATTTCTTTCGTGAACCTGTAAGACAATGAAAGAGGTTTATATACCCTCAGATGATGGCCATGTAGTGCTTTGAAGTGGTGCTGATGACTTCACTGTTCGACTCCAACCAAGTGAGGGCCTCCTTCACTGCGTCGGGTCCAATGTGCTCGTAGCCAGGGTGATTCCGTAGTCTGTCCGTCACATGCATGTAATGGCACCCACCTTCGTCTGTCATTCAATGATCATATGACAAATGTTTTCAGAACTGTTCTTTTTGCCTGTCAGACATTATTTTTCACATTTACTCCCCCCCCCCCTCCATCATTACCATTTTACCAATTTTTTGAAACACAAGAAAACGCCTCCCCCACTCCAATAAGAGGACAGTAATTCTTCTACAGAACAATTTTATTTTACAAATCACCAGGGACCCATTTCACAAAGCCTTTCTTCAATGACAAATGACAAAAATCAGTGACAAATCCATTGATAACCAATCAGAAGCAAGGATTTCAGTAGCTTATAACAAAAACTGTCATTTGTCACTGACGACAAGTTTTGTGAAACCCCCCAGGAGTATTTGACTGCTTCAAGAGATATATTGGATATAAAGTTTATTCACTTGAAGAAAAGAAATCTATTGTTTCTCTATTGAGATTGACATTTCAATGGACATTTTTTTCTTTTTGTTACAATAATGTGTTTTAATTATGTGTAAAATGAACCAAGATAACAAATTAGATTAAAAAAAGACCTAGCTGCAAACCAGTTCATTGTCCAATATTTTGAGTGGTAGAACCCATCAAAGGTCACAACGATTATAGCACATGCCAAAATCAATTCAAATCTGTGTTTTCTTTTCTTTGAATGCTCAACTGGCCAGAAATACTCAGCACACCCACAACATTTAAAAGAAACATTTCCCCCAAGTGAGACTATTAAAAAATGTAGATTTACACTATGGAATTGAAAAGAGCATTGATACCTACTGCAGTGGGAAAATGAAGGGGGGGGGGAAGAAGTTTGATTAGTAACATTTTCTTGTTTCAACTTCAACAAATTATTCCAGCTCATAAAAATAGATTTGTTTTAAATACATATATACACCCAGCCCTCCCATTGAATGATAATATGGGGCCTGTCACCACGAAATGAGTCCAGTTGGTCAAAAATTTTATTCCTGTTTTTAAGTATTATATGAATCTACATTAAGTAAGCTTTAAATTAAGGGGTCACACATTAAAATTGATAAATTATATCCAGAAATATGAACAAAAACCTAATTGGACTTTATAACAATGGGATTACCCAGTTTTGAGATAATTAGGTGTAAAGTTAATGATGTGTAACATATTATAGTCTGGTCAACAACAACATAGCAACAACACACTTCCCATCATTCGATTTCAATGAAACTTTCAACAAACAAAGAAATAATAAGTCGATTTTTGGAAAAATCTTAAATGTGGTAGGTGGGTCAATTTTCAGTACATACACACTATACATCGCTATTACTACGATTGAGCCTAATGCTACACTGGACTCATTTCGTGGTGACTGGCCCCATATGATAAAATGAGAGGAATTTCATCAGGTTGTCAACCAGTTCCTTTTTTACCTCGCCAACAAACTTTGCACCTAGACTTTGTACTATTCATATATTTCTAAAGAAATTTGTTGACAGAACCAGATAAGTTAGACTCTTGAAAGATATTGTTTGTTTAACTTTACCATCAATCTCATGTTTGCTTTCTAAATTTAATATGTGAGTTATTGATTTCATATTCTAGACAGTCTGTCTCTAATGTCTACAGCTCTGGACTGCAATAAAGCATACATGGCGACTAATGGCTTGCTCAGTTGACTGACAATGTTTAACTTTACCCTAGTCAAAACAAAAAAGTCTATAACTAGTCAAAGAATAGTGGGGGAAAACAGCACAAAAAAGATGTTTTTAATATATTTTAACACTGAATATATATTTTTCTTCATTTGTTTTTGTTCCAAGTCCTAAGGCTTATAATATATTTTTGGTCTATTTTCTATTTTTTTCTTCATAATAAAATAGAAGAAAATAGTTTATGAAACACATATAGAGCAAAAAGCTGACAAATATATTTTGTGCATGTGAAAGATGACCAGGGTATGATTGGGCTGAATCAAAGCTCTTCTGATCTTACTCTGTAAGGCCATCATTTCCTAAACAACTTTTTTCATCATATTAGTGATTACATAAATCAGCAAAATAAGCAAGTTAGATTGTGGAGTATGGTAAAGCTTCAAAATTTAGATAATGGAAATGCTAATAGGTGAAAACAGAAACCACGCAGCAACTTAGTCCAGGTTTGAGGTGACTCATTAAAGGGATTGGGTAACTTTGTCTTAGATTCTGCAAAAAAATACTGCATAATCATAAACCTTTAGGTCAGTCAGGAATCCCATGACTTTTACAAGCCGATCGCCTCTTTGATTATCAAGATATTTATGATTAGAAATCAAAATCAATTTTCGTTTTCATAACACTACAGTCTATTGGGGAAAACGAGTATGGTAAAACTGGTCACTCAAAGATTTTTACTTTTTTGAGGCACTTCATGAACATTTTGAAGCAGAATTTTTAAAGGGCTTCGATATTACAACATATCACAGACACTGATAACATGAAGGGCCATGCATCTCAGATTTATCATTGTTAAAGATGCCTTTAAGATTTAGACTCACATTTTGGGTGTTGACAATCTTCTCTCAAGATCTCTAATATACTTTCATTCAGCCTGAGGTTTCCTGGCACAGCCTAAGAAGGGGAAAAAAAATCATAGTTAAATACAGTACATGGCATTTCAATACTTACAAAGGAATAATTTAATAACTTTTAAGACATGCAACTCATAACTTGACTACAACAATTTTGAATATAATCTAGATGATTTTTTTAAAAAATTAAATAAATAGTTGCAAGGTATCTCCTCAGAAAGAACTGTCCTATTATATCTCATCGAATAAAGCGTTATTCAATATTTTATCAATAATAATCAACAAAACAGTATTCCTGCATATAATTGACAGAGACATATTTGACAGGGAGGATGGCTGGAGGTAATTCCTCTGAGAACTTTAAAACTTCTAAATATTTGCAGTTTTTTCACATTGAATTGGGCACCCTCATTTTTGGTAGCAATATTGTATATTAAATATTGTAATTGTAAAGGTATATTTCGTAGACAAAGGTAAAATTGGTGTGTAATCACGATAAGAAAGTGTCAACATTTCACTCTCTTACTTTATTCAGTCCCAAATTTTTAAACTTGAAAGTTAATAACATCAAGGGTTTTGTGACCCCTCTGACAATTGAATTTAGAACTTGCTTTAGCCTATATATATATATATATATATATACATATTAAAAGAAACACATTTTTTCGGCACTTTCTACAAATAAAATGTTTCAGATGCAAGAACTAATTAAAGTCATCTTCGAAATTTTCAGAAGGGAAATGATATCATACCTGGAAAAGTCCATGTTCCGTGCTACTCATGAAAACCTTCCCATCCTGCTCTAACTTTTCAGTGACAATCTTGAAGACACTCTTGATTTGTCTTCCTTGTTGATGGGGTCTATCTGCTTCCTACAAATTCAATAATTCATTTTATAACTGAATCAGACTAGTCTTAGGGTATGTTTATGCTCAACTTTTTCTGGCCAGAATCAGGCATCTGTTACGCGTTTAGTTCAAAACACGGTTGCGTCCTTTCTCATTTTTGTAGAATCACCAAAAAACGGCGATCACGATCGCTGATCGTAAACTCACAAAAAGGTGGGTTTACGATCGGCGATGCTGCAAAATCAGCGATTCTGGGAAGCATAAACACACAATCATTTGTAAACTCGTTTAAATGGGGTCAACGCACTGACCTCTAGTGGGTCTACGTAGCATGTGCAGTGCAGGTTTGCGAATCCAGCTACGAGGCCACCCAGCCAGATTTGCCTGGAGGAGCCAGAGAAGTGAGCATAAACAGTACACCGTGGAACTGCGATTACGATGAGCGTTTCAGATCGCTCATTCTACCTTCAAAATCAAGCATAAACGCACCCTTAAATCAACGAAATATAAATTCTATGTCACTCTACGAGCTCATGATTACCTTATTGGACTTAATTACTTACAAATGGATATTGATACTGAACACTTTCATGTTTCCATATTCACAGTGAGCTTTGTAAAATCATACCAATGATTATTAAGGAATGGGTGATTTGAAAATTACAGATTGAAATCTACTAACGAGATAATTCATGCATAGCAAAAGTTCAAGGCTTTATACTAGATATTACATAAAGCTGTCTTTAGTAGAAGAATATATGATTGTGCATGTTTGGAAATTCATAGCCATGGGTAATCTCAAGTTCTGGGCCCCATAACACAAAGCTTAGTAATTGATCGTACCATAGATTGATCTTACGATAGATTGATTGGAGATAGCGACCACTTGCAAAATAGCTATCAAATGCTAACCTTTCTTTGTGTTACAGGGCCCAGAAATGGAGAAGAAATTTTTTTGTCATGCAGTACGTCTAAAGAAACTTATCCATAAAGTATCCATCAAAGAGAATAATGATGAGGATAATTGTTCTAGTCTGAACTCTCAAGAGTTCTGGGCCCATGCACAAAATCATCACCATCATCATCATCACATTCCATTCATCATCACCAACAACTTTACCTGGGCCCTGTTGCATAAAATTTACCATCGATGGTAACTTTGCCATCAATGGTAACTACCATGGAAACCTTGATTTTGATTGGCTGTTGAGCCCTGTTACCATGGTAGTTACCATTGATGGCAAAGTTACCATCAATGGTAAGTTTTATGCAACAGGGCCCTGGTAAAGATGTTGATGACCATGAATGGAATGTGATGATGATGACAGTGATGATTTGGATAATCTTTGAAGGTTAGGTTATGCATGGTGGTGTGTATCAATTCATTAGTTTGCAGTTTCACCATGGGGTAGTTCTGAAAAGGACTGTTGGGTTTGAAAAGGCGATAGGAAGAAAGTGAGAGGGAAAGATTCTTCGGTTTCGTCCTACTTGGTTACTGAAGAGACTCCCGTTATGGGTGGTGTCCTCTACCCGTTGTCCCCAGGTCCTTAGTTCACAACAACAAATTACACAACACACAAAGTGGTGATTTCAGGAACCGATCTTATTGAATAGTCATTTCGAGCTTCGATCTTCAACTCCAAAACTAAGCTAACTCGTCCGCAAGACAAGTACCTACAGTGTATCTCGATAGATTGGATACACCCATCACACTCCTGATGACAAACAGTCAAACTGTTCAGAACATCGAGCCTTGATCTGTCTTTGCATTCATAACCTAGTTCATAAGTCCTTTTCAGGACTCCTCTCCTAAAAGAATACCTCTCTAAATGTCTTTACTTCTATCCATAGAATACCAAGCAGTCCTCCAGAGGACAGAACCGAAAGACAACCTCTCTCTCTCTCTCTTTTTCTTTCTATCCCCTTTCAAACCCAACAGTCCTTCCGAGGACTAGCCACAAGGTGAAACCGCATACTTATAAATTTAGAATATGGTATTTAAAATAAGATGATTGTGTTTTTTCATAATTGATGATGATGATGATGATGATGATAGTGGTGATGATGAAGATGATGATGATGATGATGATGATGATGATGAAGATGATGATGATGGTGATGATAATGTTGATGATGACAACAATGCTGATGATGGTGATGATGACCATGATGTCATCAGCAGACAGGATTGAGCAATCGATAATCACTTGGTTGCAATGATGATGACCTCACCTGTTGATATTCATGGCAAGGTGACGTCGCAATCTCCAAGAGTTCGGCCACTGTTTCAAGCTCATGAAGATAAAAGTTCTGAATGGTCTTGTCCTGAAGGAGTTTCAGCAACTTGACACGCACTTCACCAACCAGCTGAGCCTTTTGAAAAATGACCATAATATTAAATTCATGTGACAAAAAAAGAGCCAAGCCAAAACAAAAAAGGAAGAAAGAATAAATCTAAATGACATATAAATGAAATATATATATATTTCTCTTAATATTGTCCCAACCTACATCGCCTGTAACTCATTACCCTAAATCATCTACAAGCATCTATTTTAATCAATCTGTATCTATCTATCTACATTTATTTCATATCTGTATAAATAAACCTTCATTTTATTACATAAATAAATTTTCATCGCTATGTTCATCTGTTTATTTCCCTACCGTCCTCCATACCAACATCATAAGGAAATCTTTGTTCTGATAACTTGTATATATGAGCAACAACTTGTATATGAGTATATGAGACATATATGAGCATCAGCCGTAACAGATTGAAACAAACTACTGTACACTAAATTGGTGGGGGCTTATCATAAAATACCTGTCCGAATTGCTTGGAAAAAACGCAAAAAACATAAAACCAAACATCAATTGATTCCCCCCCCCTTTCCGATTACCTAAATATTCTCCTCCAAACATGTTTACAGAGTATATAGTATACTCAGAAAACAAAGAAATACGGTATTTTTCGTCAAGGAGCATCTTGCTCAATTTTCTTGCAGGTCTCTGAAAGAACCTGATAACCATTCTTGTCAACATCACTGGATTATTGACACTTCTCACCTCTCTCTTGATTCCACTCTGAGTGTCCCCCGAAGTTCCCTGCCTGGGACCACCTTCTAAGACAAAGGGAAGGTCATACACAGACCGGTAGAGAACCGGTATTTCCTCCATCCTCTTCATCTCAGTCTGGTAGGTGGGGTCCTGGATTCTTCCTACAGTTGCATGAAGAGAAGGATTGTATGAATTATGAATATAGCATGATATTCATGATTATTGTAGCAGCGTTGTACGCATGCGCAATCGCCCTTGGCAACTGTGTTTTATGTGAATAAAGAAGTTCAGAGATTGAGAGTTAGCACAATCCACAATGTAGTCCATCTCTAGTCTTTCGTGTGAGATTTCACCATTTCCATAGGACCGCTCGATGAGAACTTACAGCTACTGAAACAAGGATGCGGACAATTTTAACTATTCAAGTTTTTGAAGTAGCGTCATTAGAAATGGAGCCGTGCATCTCAAGACGGGATTGGCCAGCAATGTTTCTGCTGGACACAAAATGATGAGTATTTTGTTTGGACATTCCGTTGTTCAACAAAGCAAGCACCAGATGTGACCAGATTAGCCTTTGTTAAGCATGTTATCCAATTAAGTGTACTGCTGCTACAATTACTACTGCTTCTGCTGTATTCTTAATAATGAAAAAAACGATCAGTGTCCCTATAAATTTGTAATGAACACTGAACATTTCTCCTTTGTTTAAATCACAATCAATACTCAGAAGAAGAAAAGAAGAGAACTATATTATCTTCTACTATTTAAAGGGTACCCACAAATGTAAAAAATAATTATTGTAATCCTTTCAACTTTTTCCAAAACTGTGGATTGACTTTGATAATATCACTTTCTCTTGAATAATTTCTCTTACCTTACGAACAGTTTCATTAATTGAAAAAAGAAGAAATGCAAGAAAGAGTCATTTCATACAAGCCTTTCTTGTTTACATGAAAGAGACTTCAAGTTAAATAATGTTACTCAGAAATAGTAATGGCATATTTACTGAAGTATGATGCAGACACCTCGATGTTCCCTCTGAAAAATTTCAGCCTCCCTCTTACGTGAATGAGATCACCCAGCTCATATGATGTCAGCGATTCTTCAGTGGAATCTTCCATTCTCTTAAAAAGGGATGCAGCAAGTTCACCTTCTGCATCTCCTGTGAAAAAAACAATTAACGTGGGAATTACTTTGGTAAACCTGTACTAACAAAATAAGGAACCCATCAATCACTTTTGACAAGGTGAAGATATTTTGCAGAATTTTACCTCAGAATCATTCAAATACCTATATACTTCACATAACATCATAATATATATATATATTTTAAACATATAAACTGATAAATATAGCGTAGAACCTATGCAAATACACTATGCTGCAAGAGCTCTTGATGTGTACTTGAGACTACTACGTATACAGACAGTTTATTGAAAATATGTGCTGTTAATTGTTATATACAAGTATTTAAAGATGGTTATTTCCTAATATCTACGCTATTCCATAGTTTGGGAGCTGTGCATACGAAACCTTTGTAACTAATACAAGTGAGCCATCAATGTAATGTAGTTAAAGTTTGTACCGAGTTTTATTACTGGTCTTATCAACTTATCGATTGTAAACTCTTATTTTATCATCAACCATGTTTCCTTCTTCTTCCTTCATACTTTCTATCTTTCTTCTTTTTCCCCTTCCTCCTCCTTCCTCCTCCTCCCCCTCCCCCTCTCTCCCTCTCTCTCTCTCCCTCCCTCTCCCTCTCTCTCTCTCTCTTCTTATTCTTCTTCTTCTTCTTCTTCTTTCTTCTTCTTCTTCTTCTTCTTCTTCTCCTCCTCCTCCTCCTTCTCCTTCTTTCTTCTTTCTTCGTCCTTTTATCATATCAATTTCACTGCTGAATGTCTTAATTCGATATTTGCCTATTTCACATCATACTATTTGCATGTATTTCATTAGTATGTTGCATTCTGATTTGTAATGACGATATATCAGGTATGAGCTGTGACTATGAATTTTTCATCAGTAAACCTCACCAACTCAATTCAATTCAATTCAATACAGAGTAGGATGTGGTTACGTAAACCATGTTAATCCAGGTAGAGGAGGATATGAAAGAAGCAGATCCTGAAGCAAATATAAATGTGGTTAAAAGAGTTCCCCAGAGAAGAAAAGCCTAAATGACTTGACTTGGCAAATCCATTTTTCAGATGAACATTGAATATTTACAGATGAATGAGGCTCTCTAATATTTAACCTGTCCTGGGCAGCAAATCCTGCATTACAATTTGAATGATTAATGTCTTTGGCATAAGAATGTCTATTTATTTCGTCCTGAATCAGGTCAGGTACCTCTATTGTAGAATATTTATGACGGAAATGCCTTAAGCCATATTCAAACTTGAAAGAATTTATTATTAATTCAGAATTTTACCGTTGACGGATACTTCAATCCAAAAAGGGCTTGTTACACATGATAGTGGCATGGAAAAGGGTTCAGGTACCTTAAAATATGATTATTTCAAGATGCTATTCCCTGTATTTTTTACCAACAGATGATGTTTGTGGATCTCTGCCCAATTCATCGGCTCTCTTTGGTTTCCAACAGCAACACTGTATCACCCCCGTTCCATCGTCAACTGGATAAAATAAACACAAGAATTTAATGTAGGTCCTTTATTAAGTTAAAGGTAATACAAAGTTATGGGAAATTTTGAAAATTGGGTGGATAGTGATTCTTTACAATTTTTATATATTTGGATGCCCCTGTCGATGTATTAAAAGCACTAGAAAATTTAGCCCCTAAAACACTTCTGCTTTCAAGAAAAATTGAATATAAAAATTTACCAGTGCTCCTGGTAAATTCTGATAAATTTAAAATAGCGCCTACGGCCATACAATGGTAGCTGCGACCATGAAAATCTCAGAATATGTAGTTGTGATATATAATTTCCAAACGGGAATAGCTAATCGTTCGATTTTAGTCAAGAAAAATAAGTTTTATAGCTTAATTAATATCTTGACCTTGGGAGGGAGCTATACAACATAAAGAGTTATTTACAATTTCATAACTTTAGACTCGATTTCAACCGCGACAACGATCACTGAATATTGTAGGATCGCATATGCTTCCAATATGTTCATTTGAACCAAATTCATAACCCCATACCAAAACTTTGTATTACCTTTAAAAGTTACAAATCATGCTTGGATATATCTACATCTCTAGCTATATAATCCAAACTAAAACTAGAAATGCAAGCTAAATGAAAAAGGACATCATCATGAACTTTCTTATTAGTTGCTTTTGTTTTTCGCTAACAGAGACTCATTAGCTATCAAATTTGCATATATCAGCGAAAGCACTTTTAAGATGTCTACACTAACTTAAGTTTTCGGGCTCCAAAACAGATCATTTTTTCCACTTTATCTTCAAAATGTCTTCTTATTTTGTTCTTATTCTTATAATACTCAAAACATGGATGAAAAAAAAAAGCCCTAGGAAACTTAAGAATATGTGGTACATCATAAAATATATTAATTCAAACATTTTCCCTTCCATTTCAGCATATAATTTGGGTATAATTATTTCAAAAATTTGATGTCAGCTCCCCTCGTCTTTCCCTTAATTCTTATCCATCTCTCTTTATCCCCCTCCCCTCTCACCATCTCTCTCTCCCTTCTCTCCCTCCCCCCCCCCCCCCCTCTCTCTCTCTCTCTCTCTCTCTCTCGCTCTCTTTCAAACTCCTCCAGTAAAGCAATCACATAGTAAACATCATATTTCAAATTACATAATCCTTATAAAAAACTTATTACACTTTCAAAGTTAATGTAATGTACCAGCATAATTGAAGAACTTTTCTCTCTCGGCAACACTGACCACAATCCCCATCAAGTCAACTCGGTAGATTGGATGATTCTTGTAAGCAAATGCATCTGCTTGTTAAAAAGAAAAATAAAGAAAAGAAGAACAAGGAAATAATACATCATGTTGTCGGGTGAGAGAAAGAAGGTGTTGTGTTGAATGAGAGCATTCAGTGCATGCCTTTCTGGTTTTAAAACACATGATTTAGTTTCCAATTACAGTTGCTATAGCTGGCATGCATCCAAGTTCTACAACAATGTCAATTCAATGGGGCTTTGGATTAATTGCAAGCCAACCACTACAGTTAACGTACATCTGATTCCTGTAATGACTGTCATTTAATTTAATTACCGACAATCCACTTTGAAGTATGAAGTAATAGCAGGCCTCATTATACAATCACTTCTGATCAGAATGCTTGCATAATATTGAGGTGGCGAGGTGGCTCAGTCGCTAAAGCGTCTGCCTGTTGAACCAAAGATTGTGGGTTCAAATCCAACCAAGGAAGATGACTATAAAGCCTGCATTGTGTCCACACAACACAGTCCACCTGAAAGTCCCTACCAGTTACAGTATATCGAAGGAGAAGATGTTAATGTGGTGGGTTTTTTGACCCGACTGCTACGAAAGCATACATGCTTGTTAGTACATGTATGTATAAACAAGAAGAGATCTAAAGTTTGCGTTTTCGCTTCCCAAGCACAGGTGACGCCAGTAAATAATAATAACAATTATAATGATGGCTCAGGAAGTTCAATTTTTGTCATTTACTACCTTTTGTGAACAGTCTACCTGCCACTTTGGTGAAAGTTTGTTTTGATTGTGGACTCACGTACATGTAGACCACTGACTATAACTAGAGATAAACACCTCCCTGCTATAACAGGTACAGGTAAAGGAGGGGCACAGCCTGCATGCCCCCTCCCCCCCCCTAAACAAAAAAAAACAAAAAAACAATGGGACATACCGAAGTACAAAGTGGCATAGCTACATATGTACAGGTGGCAAAGGGGTGTGTACCTCCCAATCAAACGACAGAGACATGTTAAGTAAAAGAAGGAAGGATTTCTTTCTTTCTTTTTTTATTAAAACAAAGGATAATGATTCATGAAATGAAACGAAAAGACGATGGTGGAACTCCCTCCCTCACCAGTCCTTTAATCAGAGACCTTGTAAATTCCATCATTTTTGTGAGTGAGACAGCCCCCCCCCCCCCCACCCTCTCCATGATGCCAATGCCCCTAAATGGTTTGACCCATGCTAGACCCCTGTACATGAAAGAAAAGTAAAAGTATTAGAAAGTGTACCCATGTACATGACAGCAGGTAAACCTACTTCCAACAGGCCTCGCCATTCAATTTTTCTACCATGAATACAATTGAGAAAAACTTTTTTTCAGCTGGTTAGCCAGGTTTTTAATGAAAATTTCACTTAAAACGAGACAGCCACACTGTCACAAAACCCTAGGTCTGTCCCTGACTATACAAATGAACTTTGTCCAAATAATTTCAAGATGTTGTGGAATTGAGGAGTACTTAAAAGGAAGACTGAAAGAACACAAAGATATCATGTTAGCATAATATCAAAGCTTGACATATGAGCAATTATGTCTTTGTAGTTTTTGTTTGTTGCTTTAATCAACAAAGGTCTGGACATATGCCAATGAAGTAGTAATACAATCTGGGTATGCTATCTAGGCATTCATAACAATAATAATAATAATTTTAATACCCTGTCTCTCAGTTTCCCAGGGAAGTTTTTATACTTGGTTTTATACTTGGTTGTTGTGAGGCTTGAAGCATCAGCTTATGAGCCCATCTTGTCAATCACAGCACTATTTCCGTTGATAATACAATCACGAGTAATAATATTGCTCTTCCTGAGCAGAGGGTCCTGCAATCATCATTAACCCAGCAAATACCAGATACCCTTATAAATACATACTAATACACCAGTGTCAAAAAGAATAATTGTGGGTATAAAATCACACCAATATATATACCAGGTCATAACTATATAAATAAATAAAATATCATAAATACATAACTAACAGACTACGCTTCCAGCACTTTTTGGGCTCAAAACGACAGGAAAGAAACATGTTAAAGATGATGCAGGGCGCCACATTCTGTTTACGGTAACCCTGAATATAAGATGATACATCATTCTGAAAACAGTATGAGGTGACATTTCCAGGTACTTAAAGCAAACAAACATATTACTTCTGTGCCAACTGGTACATGTATCTTGCATAGAATACTTCATTTGAGGAATGCTTTTATACCACTGAGTAACATTGTATTCACAGCACAATGTACAAAAGAGCAAGGCAGTACTGCACACTGTTATGAAAACTGCAACCTGATGTTGACCTCTGCCAAATCTAAAAGGTCACCAAAGAGGGGTCAACTTATAGAGAAAAATAAAGAATCCCTGGGTCTATTTTTGCACTCTTGGTTACCTGTTCTTGCATGCTAGAATCAGTTTAAAAGTGCCTAAAGGGATTTGCTCCTACCCATTTGACTGAACTAAGCACCAAATACTAGTACTACCGGACAGAAATCTCAGGTCTTCCCAGGTACCTCCTTATACTATCCCTCAAATAAACTCAAAGGTCTACGGGTCATGCTCTTTTCAGGCTGCAACAGTTGAGCTTTGGAATAAATTGCCAGAATATATAAAGTTGTTATACTGTTGACAACTTTAAAACAGTCTTAAGAAACGTTTCTTCTTAGATATAATGTGTAATGTTGACTGATGACTAAAGGAAGTATGCTGAGTGTGTCTCACTAGTCATCTCTATTCTCCTTTTTATTTCCTTCTCTACTGTACAGCACATAGGGCTATATTTGTGATTTGCGCTATATACCTATAAGTATGATATATCATCATATACCAGGGATTCCATTCTACCTACATATATATGATTGTTGTAGGCAAATTGTTACTTAGCATGAGATAATGAAAAGTTCAAAGACTATTTTCGCTAGTGGGCAATATGTTCATCAGTTTCAGCATAATCCATTTGCCCTTAAATTTATTCAATTTTATATAGACAAGGTAGCTCTCTCATTATCAAAACTGTTTTTCTGAGAGGCCCAGTACAAATTATAGGTTACAAATGAAATAACAAAGAAAATCAAACCAGGGATATGTGAGTTATCCCTGATCAAACAAAGTTTAAGTACATACACATATCATTGATTATTTGTTTAATAATATCTTATGATTTTTCAACTTGACAAGCTGACAAAAGCTTGGATCAGAACCAAAAAAAAGGAAAATTGTACTTAAAATTAGCCAGTTTTGATCGAAAGTCAATGATTTTGAAACTCACTATGTGTTGCCAAATTTAAAGATTTTAGAGCTTATTTTGTATTTTTTATTTCGAGCATCAAAGACAATATAGTCAAGAAACAAAAATAGATACAGTGTGTGCAGAAAATGTTGCCCTTTCTCTCACGTATCTTGCATATTTGTAGGGCTCTGAAGAAAGTTATTGAGCCAAACAACAACGTGTGGAATGATTGTCGCCAAAGAGTTGATAACTATGAAAAATATTTTTCTTCTTCTTCTTCCAAGAAAAGTGCTGCTTCAAGGCCTTGAAGATTGCGCACTGTGTGTGCCTGTGAGGAGCCTGTGTGAGCCTGCTGGCCAGGATCCTAGTGCATACCGGTATATGTACAGGGTGCAAGTAAAAACTTTTAATCACGTGAGGGCAGTTAGGGGTGCTTCTTTCCAAGTGAGGACTTAAATGCCTCAAGGGAGAGTGAGCAGGCTGGATCTACTGGAAGGTTGTTCCAATCCTTGGTAGTTCTGGGGAAGAAGTCCTGAGCTGATGTAGGCTTGGCTAGTACACAGTGTTGCTCTAAAGCGGGATCCGTGACCTCTTGTTACAGATGTTGCTGCCTTCAGATATTGTTGCCATTCAACGTCAACAAGACCAAAGCGGATGCGATACAGCATAGCAAGGCGGCTTTGAAGACGTCTACTAACTAGCGAGGGCCATTTTAGTTTGTTCATCATAGATGTAACACTGCTGGTATGATCGTAGTCACCACAGACGTACTGCGCACTCCTGTGTTGAACCATTTCGACCTTGTTGATGATTCTTTGGGTGTGTGCATGGATCCCATGCTGTTGCAGCATACTCCACTATTGGACAGTGTATGTGACATACGTAGCCTCCTTGATCTTTTGGTTGCAGTGTCGAAAGTTACTGCGCAGGAAGGCACAGTCAGCATTTGCCTTCTTGACTGTGGCATCTACGTGGGCATTGAAGTTCAGCTTCTGATCAATGTGGACCCCGAGGTAATTGGCTGAGTTGACCTGCTCCAGCTGATGACCATGGATGGTGTATTGGCCTAAGAGTGGCTTCTTCTTGTTGGTCACTCGCAAGACCTGGCACTAAGAGGGATGAAATTCCATCTTCCATGTCTTCTCCCAGTCCTGGAGCCTGTCTAGATCTTCTTGCAGTTTGTCACAGTCCTGGGTCGATCTGATTGGTTTGTAGAGCAGACAGTCGTCAGCATAAAGGCGCATAGTTGAATGCCTAATGCAATCTTGTAGGTCATAGATGTAGATCAAAAATAACAATGGACCTAGGACGCTACCCTAGGGTACACCAGATGTGACCTTGGCTTCAGAGCTGATTTGGCCCTCCAGTATGACTTGTTGGGTACGGCCGGTCAGGAAGCTCTTGATCCACTGAAGAGTAAGGCCGTGTATACCACAATGTTTGGCTTTGAGAAGGAGTCGTTTGTGAGAGACCTTGTCAAAGGCCTTAGCAAAGTCTAGTAGGATTACATCATACTGACCCTTGTCTTCCAGTCCTCTAGCAAGGTCATGAATGGTGAGGATCAGTTGTGTCTCACAAGAACGCCGCTTCCGAAAGCCATGCTGAATGTCAGATAGAATGTCATGATGGATGAGGTGGTGGATAACTGCACAGTGAACAACATGCTCACACAGCTTGCATAAGATCGCAGTCAGCGAAATCGGCCTGTAGTTACCCGGGGATGACTTGCATCCCTTCCTGTAGATGGGAACTACAAGTGCCTTCTTCCACATCGATGGAATGCATCCTTGATGAAGAGAGGCTTGGAAAAGCAGAGCGATCGCAGGGGAGATCTGTTCGGTGGTTTCCTTCAACATTCTGGCAGAGATTCCGTCTGGCCCTGTTGCTTTGTGAGGTTTTAAGCTTTTCAGCAGCTTGGTGACCCCTTTGCATGTCACTACTATATCATCAGTATTTGGGAATGGACTGGGCCCCAAGTCAGGTAAAGCTGAATTGTCATCATTGGTAAACACAGAGCAGAACTGTTTGTTGAGTAGATTGGCCTTCTGTTTGGGATCACAGTGTAGTAAGTCTCCGTCTTTTAGCGGGCCACACCTGTTTGGTCGCAACGCATGCTCTTCACCAAAGCACCTAGGCGTTTGTTGCTTCCAGAATCACTGTTGATCATGTCATCCAAGTACTTGTTGAAGGTTTGGCGACAGATCTTCTGTGTTTCCTTCTTGATGGTGTGATAGCGTTTCCAGGCCTTCGTCTTCGCTTTGGTCGTACTTCTAGGCTTGCTTGAGATACTCTTTGCCTTTTTGTAGGCTCTTGACTCTTTGCGACACATGTGTTTCGTATTTGTGTCGAACCAGCATTGGTTAAACCGGGATGAGCTCATTTTCGTTGGAACATGATCTCTCACAATCTTGTCCAGTGCTTGCTGGAGTTCATTGCACAAGATTTCGGCTGGAGTGGAGGTGCTGTGGTCAGCGATAAACTGATCAGCCAATGTTTGAGCATCTGAGCGGATAATGTCGATGTCGGCTTTCTTCCACAAGAAGATTTTCCGGCGAACTGGTTTCTGTCTAGTTGCCTGGGCAGACATCTCCATAAAGATCACATCATGGTCACCAAGTTCAGGTATAGCATGGCACTAACCAGTGTTGGGCGATTGGTGGTGATGATGTCTAGGATATTATCTTTCCTAGTAGGAAAATCAATCACTTGTTAAAATCCCATGCTTGCAAGTGTTTGTATACATGTCTCACTGATTGAATGTCTGCACTGGTGAGATGTGATCTCATCTGTTTCCCAGTTTATGTCTGGCAAATTCATGTCCCCCCAGATCCATACTGCTGTGATGGTGTGACATGCAGATGTCGATGATCGCCTGGTTGAGCTTGTCCATGTAGGTTTGGTTGCTACTTGGTGGGCGGTAGACTGCTCCAAATATGATGTTATGATGACCACTTACAACCTTGGCTGCTACAATTTCTGCTTCACTGTTGACTGAGACTTCATGGCTATTGAGGTTGTCGATGACAGCGACCAACGTTCCACCATAACCATCTCTCCTGTCCTTCCTATAAAGTTTGTAGCCAGGTGGAAAAATCTCTCCATAACCCATTCCGGGTTTTAGCCACGTTTCACAACCCATAATAACGTCTGGCTTTGTTGCTTCAATCATACTCTAGAATTCCTCTCGCTTGGAGAACAGACTTTGAAAGTTAACAGTCAGGGTTCTCAGACTGTTTTTGCTAGATGGCCGGCTCTTTGATGGAGAAGAAGATGTAAGGGGTGATCCCGGCAGTTCTGACCTTGATGTGCAACTAGAGGAAGAGGTGGATGAACAAGTGGAGTCGTTTTCAGATGATCCTATCATTATAGTTGAATCAAAAAGGCTGGAAGATGGATTTGGTAAACCATATTTGCAGCACTCCCATGGCAGATCTGATCTTCAGAGAAGAGATAGGTCGGAGGCGCTGATGCCGACACATTCAGCATGGTACCAAGTGTTACATGATTCGCACAAGATACTAGACTTTGCACCTTTGTAGTCTGTGCAGGATTTTCCACATTCCCGCATGGGAATTTGAGTGGTCGGGGACCAGGATTTGATTCCACATCGCCATCAGATAAGAGAAGGGTGCTTGGTGTATCCACAAGTAATACAATTACAGTCACTATTATCACAAAGCATGGGAACAGCTTGTGAAACAGTGACATTGCCTCTATCTCCTTGCTCTAGCATCCAGGCTACAAATGGTTCAAGCACGTCATGGAATGCTGGAAGTACTTAAAAGATATACATCTCCATATTGAGTGACATCAAGAGTAACTGTTTTATGCTTAAAATGCATAAATGTCCTGTTATGATATTCACCAATAACAAACTCATGGATAATCACGTCTGATCAAGTCTAGATTCACAATGTGTATACATCGATCACCATAGTAATAGCAAAGCATAGTCACATAATCACATCTAATCACAATGTGTATTGATCACCATAGTAATAGCAGAGCATAGCAACTAAACATAAGGTAGCCATATTTCTCAACAATTACACTTTTCGACAGCTCAGTTCATTTAAGAATTGTACACCTTGATTTAATTCATACATTGAGAATTTAATAGACACTAGCTAGCATCAATATATTTCTGAACTTGTCATAACAAGTTGACAATGTATATGTAATCTTAACCTTGAAAGATTCATGGCATATACCGGTAGTGGATTTCTTAAAACTTCTTATAACAACTTAAAGAAAAATATGTATTCAAAAGCGACCACATTTTATGTGACACAGAAGTCAGATATCAATATATTTCTAAAATTGAAGTTTATAAGCACAAGTTGACAATAATTCCCCACCCGACAAGGTGAGGGACTTGTAAATACACATAATGAACAAAGGATTTTTAAAATAAAGGAACTGTCATTGTCAGTCTGCTGAACCCTAATATACCACCCACGTCCATACTTCCTAGTTTTAGCAGCCATACTTGGCAAGTAACTCTATACTCGCTAGCTGTCGATATTCCTGGCTTTATTATTAAATATAAAAAATACAAAAAATACTAGAGTCTGCACAAATTTCACTTTTCTCTCACAAATGAAGTATCATAATTACACTACACTATATTACCTCCTAACTATACTTTCCATTCTCTTGCATCAACTTCACCAATTAAAACAAAAAGATACCACTTTTGTCCAATAAGGCCGGAAGTTTCGCGTTTGCACTCTCATAGCTCTCCACACCCGAGAGGGTACACCAATGATTACCTACCGCCTGGCCCGGTGCTGTAGGGTTGCATCGCTACGATATCGCTGATATACAGCCGAGCATAGGACTTGTAGACTGGGTCCAGGTTCCATTTATCACAGGGTAAATCATCATATTTGCTTGCTGTTGAGGTCATTTCGGGGAACAATATGGTAGTTCTAGTCCTTCTTACGTCCTTGCCCAAACAAAACCTCTGAAAACGTACCTATAACGGTCAAATGTATAGCTATGAGCAGACGTGTACAACTAAAGGACATCAGTTCAACTGTGTCAATTCACCTGTTACTATAAAAGTATTATAGTGTTACGTCACAATCACTCCCAGGCAAGATAGTTCTATTCGACCGTTTCGACGTACCTCGAAAAAACGTAGTCTACAGTCAACACATTCAAGAGAAAGTCAGTGGAGTACCGCAGACCTTCGCCAACTGATCCGGTTGTTGAAAAGTGAGTTACGACTTACAGAAAAAAGAGTGTCCTTGACAAATTTTGTTATTCACTTTTAACAAAAAAAAGGATGGAACTGCTATCTTTCAAGGTATAAAATGGATCGGCACAGTTCTCTCTTTCTCCTCCCTCCTTGAGCTTTGAGGTACCCCAAAATACATTAAAAATTGTATCAACTTACGAATACCAGATATTTCCTTTTCCTTTTCTTTCACAAGCATACTCGTAGACCTGCTTCTGATTTATTTCTATAATTCAATTAGGTGTACATGATTTTGATACACTACAATAGGGACTTTTAGATTTGCGTGGACTGATACGTGTGACGTCCATATAAGGCAGTGCATTAAAAGGACGTCGATCGTAGCAATCCCCATTGTCTTCGTGCGAATCTAAAAGTCCCTAATGTCCTGCTCTGCACATCCTTCAAGTTGGAGAAAGTTATAAAAATATACAACCATTTTTTTTGCCAGTGAGATAAAAGAAACATGGGAAAGTTGAATCAGCTTTATATTCTGTCCCTCCGTCCCCCCCCCCCCCAACAAAAAAAACAAACACTTCACTATGATATCAATGACCAACAGATATTAGTAAAAAAAATACTCTTGTGAATATGAGACTAGTAGTTGGATCCGTATCAAATCGAAAAGGGATGTAGCTAGGCCAAGTGTTCATAGTACTTTCAATTAGTTCGCGGTCATTGTAATGATAACTATATGGTTAGTAACCAACAAGCATGTCGATGTTTTAGCTAATAATTCCTTTATCTCTTTTTTAATCCAATATATTCTTGTTGTGTGTAATTGGGGTGTTCATCTAACTTGTATCAATCAGAGTATAATTGATATTATTGTTATCTTGGTGTATTGCTATCATTTTCCTCTGAAACACGAATATTATAAAATTGTGATGCCAAAAAATAAGGTTTAACGTCCTGCCTTTTTGAAAAATAAAAAGGAGGAGCCCCCCTTTTTTTTCTTCTTCAAAATGGCCGCTCAAAATGGCCGCTCGGTACATTTTTCCAGACAGTTGGGCATTTTTTTTTTTTTTTTTTTTTTTTTTTTTTTTTTAAATCAGAAATAGATCATTTTAGCAGTGTGTGTGTTTTTAAAGGTTTTTTTCTTTAAAAAAAAAGAAAAAAATAAAGGAAACGGACGCGGACGATAAACATGTATATTTTTTTAATGGCCTAAGATATTTTTTAAATCACTGTTTACAGAGATTATTTAAAGGTCACATTGTGGCAGAAGTATGTGGATGCGCACCCTTATGTAAAGATGAGAAGCAATTCGAAACTTGTGAGAGAAGGAAAAGTTATTAAGATTAAAAAAGGGGAGAGAAGAAAGTAGAATAAGCAAAGAGAATAAGAGATGTGGAAGAGGGAAAGAGAGAGAGAGAGGGGTAAAATAGTGAGAAAGAAAAAAAAAGAAAGCGACTGAGAGGAGGGGGGAGGGGAGAGATTGGTGATGGAGAAAAAAATAGAGAGGGAGAGAAAAGAGGTGAATGGGAGGAACGTAATTATAAGGGAATCCAAAAAAAGGAAAAAATAGAGTTGGGCGTGAAACATTTTGGAACACAATAATTATGTACATCAAAAGAATAAGACAATACATAGGCATGCATTTATATCTTTGAAGAAAAAAACACAATAATGAGCAATGAATTAATGTCAATAATATTTCAGTATTAGCTTTTTGACTTATTATATATAGGCCTATATTGTATTGTTTTAAATCAATTATTGTTATTACCAGGCGCGTACACAGGGGGGGGGGGGGTGGTTCTGGGGGTTAACCCCCCCCCCCCCTTTGGTATTTTTTGTGTGTGTAAACCCCCCCCCCCATAACCCCCTAACCCCCCCCCCCCCTTTGAATTTTTTTATTTTTATTTTTTATTTATTTATTTAAAAAAAAAAAAAAATCCCATAGCTGACCTAAAAAAGCTGACCTTACCCCCCCCCCTTTATTCAGCGGCTGGCTGAGTCGTTGCGAAATTTTCGACCCGATTTATAAATGTTAACCCCCCCCCCCCCTTGAAAAAATCCTGCGTACGCGCCTTGTTATTACTATTGTGAATTTTAATATATTTTTAGAATGTAAATACAAGTCATGAGTAATGTTAAGTATGTTTGAATGATTGTAACAAATGAAATATAATTTCATGCAATAGAGCTCATGTTTATGTAAACATTCACAATTCACCATTTTGCTGCGAGGCATCGTTTTTCAATAAAAACATTATTGACTATTGACAGTCAATATCGGCTATACCTTGCAAGAAGAATTCGTGATATTGGACATTGACGAAAATATGAGAGGGAGACAGTGAGAGGGAGACAAAAAGAGAGAGAAGAGGACGAGGAAGCGTGGAAAGAGGAAGGAGAAGAGGAAAATGAGGAAAGAGGAGTAAAGGAAGAAGAAAATAAATGGGGGAAAAACAAAAGAGGAAGGTTGAGCTCCAAGAAAAAAATATCACCAGGCGGTTGGCCTTGAAGTCTACCTTCTCTCCCTTTCTCTTTCTTTATGTTACTACATCATAATCTCTCTCTCTCTCTCTCTCTCTCTCTCTCTCCCCCTTGCTTCCTATCGCTCCCTTTACTGTTCTTCATTTAAATATTAATCCAAACTTTCAATTGAACGAGAGATGCCAACCAAAAGAAGTAGGGGACCAGATTCATGAATAATTAACGAAGACCCACGCGTTTTGATAGAATCAGATCGATATATTCTTCTATAAGATATACAAAGTATCCCCTTCATGCATGCACTCTCCAATAAAAGAAAATATACACTGAGGGTAAAATCGAAAGTCTGTGTGAAAGTTACGTACTGGATAAGTAGTTGTCATCGTGCAGGGCTTGGGGCTAGTAGTCAGGTCCTCGATGGAATTGAGATTGAGTCGACATCGAAACGACGTCGAGCGGATATCGAAAAGAAAGAAAGATCGACGTGCTGAAGATTTGGATCTTACGAGGGGACCATTTTAGATATTTACATCAAGGACTTCGCCGGGACTTAAGTGATTTAAAATGGATCAGGACGACATCGACGACGGATTAGCCCCTCACGAGATGGTAAACGGCCTGGGGGACGATCTCAGTTCGATGTCAATTAATGGGCTGAACGTCGAAAACGTAGGCAAAGAAGAAACTGGGATGGATGGCGACATCGGTAACGGGATTGAAGTTCACAAAACAGAGCATGAATCAGCGAAACGACCAGCCGATCTTCCACTGAAAAGTACTACATCGTCCACCTCGTCGTTTGATACGACGCCCACGTTGATGTCAACAACCCCTGGTCGTTTCGTCTCCCTCTGGTTATCTGGTGAAACCAAAGATAATGAGAAAACGCCAGTCGTGTCGTCACCGAGTTCGTCTTTGCCAGTTCGACCACTGCACCATTCACAAGATCGTTCACCTTCGAAAAAGAAAGACGCGGTCGTCCTACTCAATCACCTCGACGGGTCAGAGTTCACTGACACCCTCCACTCTCAGGCAGTTCAGGTACATATTAAGTCAATGAAATATGCTAAATTGCCTCATAACTCATGAACCTTGAACTGTTCAATATATGATAGAGCATGATATATGCTTTTCAAAGAAAATATATTTATAATTATAAAGATAAATATACATACAATATCTAACATAGAATTAACAAAGATATCACTGAAGAAAATACACTTGATGACGAAATTGCAGGATAATCACGCTAGTCTTTAACAAAAATTGTGTTAAGATTTAACATAATTACTTCTTTTTTTTCTTTTTTTTTAAGTAGCATGATATTAAACAAACAAAAAAACACTTTTGCATTTAAATGATTAACAAAGATGGGTGATTATCATTATAGTACGTATTTTGGGCAGTAACAATGTTTGTTATTATATTATGAAGACGACCATTATTATTATCATCGAATCCGCTGATTATTTACAAAATGTGATGAATAAATACCTAAGGTATGTTTGGGATCAACTATTATATCCTACGACTTAGAGTGTGAAATTGTATTCTTCGCAGATTGATATGATTATGCGATTCTTTGTAAGCTTTAGAGGTAATATCGTTGTGAAAGTACAATTTGATACAGAGATATAATAGTATTAATATCAGTAGTGGTATAGCTACAGGGGGTACCGCCCCCACCCCCATCGAGTTGTGGGGAAAAGAAAATATTGAACGGGGAAGTTGGAAAGTGAAAAGGGCGAGAAACGAAGACGCATAGGCTGCCTCACACATCCTCCCCCATTCTGTGTAGCTTTGTAAATTCGCACATCATTTTTTGAATAAGATCGGTGCCCCCCCCCCCATAATCATTCCAGTGCCCCCCTCAAAGGACGGGCTCACGCTTCGCCAAAGATTCATATCATTTGCCATTATGGCATTGATTCATATATATATACACTACGTCCCCTATTTATGAAGTTTAATACACTCTAGTCTAAATTTAAATAACCATGCAAATCGATAAGGAATGCAAAGGCATTTGCTTATAGCCCCGTTACAAACGACCTGTCCTCTATTATCGATCTCCAGGCTTCAGATTCCCGCGCTAACCATTCTCATTCACAATTCGTATTGTCTGCTTTCCATGGAGCAAGGTAAAGAGATCTTGACGGTAAGGTTGATGCGGAAAGGGGCACGACAGTGTTCTCAATAAATAAAGATATAAACTGTCGATTTACTGTCATTTAACAAATACAGCACTTAATTATATTCACCTTGAAATACGCGTGGCAGCGAAATTTTCAATTGAATATACACTTTGCCTACAAAGTTGGGATAAATTTTTGTTTACCTCTTTTAATGAAGTGATTGTGAGAATATTATTTATTCTTGACTTAATTGGTCAACCTGAAGAGCCATATAGAATGATCTATAATGTAAACACTATCTATCAAGAATAAAAACATATTGTCTGAGTTCTCAAAAGCACTTCATCAAAAGAGGTAAACGTAGATTTATTCTAAGTTTATGGGCAACAGTGTATGTCCTAGGGGGTTTATAAGTAAAATGTAACCAAATCAAATTTAAAAAATATCAAGATTTATTGAAAGAAATTTCAGTGTCATCCCAGGTAATCTTTTTTTCTTCACAACCTTTAGAAATGATTTTTTCAGCAAGTATTTCTTAAAGTTAGATAGTCATTATAGAAACTTCGATGTTCCCATTTATTTTGATATTCTTTTCGGGGCTTGCACCTAACAAGCAATGCTTCTTTACAACACCTCTCCATTTCAGTTTAAATTAATACATTAAAGGTATTACAAAGTTTTGGGAAATTTTGAAAAATGGGTGGATAGTGATTCTTTACAATTTTGATATATTTGGATGCCCATGTGGATGAATTAAAAACACCTGAAATTTTAGCCCCTAAAACGTTTCTGCTTTCGAGAAAAATCGAATATAAAGATTTACCGGTGCTCCCGGTAAATTTTGATAAATTTCAAATAGCTCCTACGGCCGTACAATGGTAGCTACGACCATGAAAATCTCAGAGTGTGTAGTTGTGATATATAATTTCCGAACGAGAATAGATTATCGGTCGATTTTAGTCAATAAACATTGTTTTATAACTTAATTAATATCTTGACCTTGAGAGGGAGCTATTCAACATAAAGTGTTTATTATTTAAAATTTTATAACTTTAGAGTCGATTTCGACCGCGACAACGATCACTGAATATTGTAGGATCGTATATGCTTCCAATATGTTCATTTGAACCAAATTCATGACCCAATACCAAAACTTTGTATTACCTTTAAGATAAGAAATGTCCCCTTATCATTTTTAGGTCTTCAATATTTTTTTTCTTTATGTGTAGTTCTTCAATATTTTTAAGTTGTCTATTATACAAAGTACACTGTGTTGGCGCAGTCAGTAGAGCGTCCGCCACCCAACCGGGAGGTCGTAGGTTCGAGCCCCATACCAAAAGACGTTAAAAGACGGGAATTGCTGCTACCTTGTTTGGCGTTCAACAATAAGGGATAGAGCAACGTCGATCTGGCGCTGCTCAGTGGCTGCCGGGCTCATGATCAAAAAGAATTTCCATTTTCGGTTTAACTTAATAAAATTTGGAGTGGACTTTAAAAGATTATTATTATCATTATTTTTATTATATAATTCAAGTGTATTTCAATTCACATTTTATTGAAATTGGTCAATTTCCGATAGATAAATTAAATAAAACCATTATTATCACATGGGGCTATCAGAAGGAACTGTTTGTTATTACATAGTAAGCCGGGAAAGGGCACTTAATCTTAAAATAATGAAATATTCACTTATGTAAATTCCTCTTCTAGGAAACTTCTAAACGATCTGGAAGCGCTAATAATGACTCGGTGACGTCACCAACACGTCAGAAGCCATCTATGAGGTCACAAGATGAGAAGATACGATTGGCCAGGGAGTTCATCGATCAATATTATGCGCATGCTCAGAGGTCAGTGCATGTATTGTTGGTTGTGCTTTGGGGGATGAGTTTTGTTTTTCTTCAATAGAAGTGATGAAAAGGTTAAAGCTCTTGTCATGTTTGATATTATTTGTATGATAATTTTATAATAGAAGTTTTACATATAATTGCATGAATGAGGTTTTGTTGATCATGTTGAGGTTGATGATAATGACCATAATGATGATGTTGGTGATGATATTGATAATGATAACAATGATCAAGATGATGATGATCATAAGGTGGTGATCATTATACTGAAAATATCAATGATACATCTTCTTCTTTTTTCTCATCATCTATTAATTGAATAATACATAAATAATAAACACATGATTACATTGATTACAAAGAAAGACACATGAATTACACTTAGATCACAACATTCATTATCCTTTTTTTCCAGAGGTGATACTTTTCAACAGTTGCCCTCCATAATATTTTCTGTAAATATATGTCGAAAATGTTTGTAAATTTAAATTTTCTTTTTTGCGTATATAAAACAAAAAACACAAATTAATAGATTTGTAACAACTACGTGGTACATCTTACAGATCTGGTACAGTATCGCATGAGCGTCGTCTGTATGAAGTTCAGATGAGCCTCAAAGAGAGTGGTAACTATCATCTCACGGAAGCTGAACTCATCTTCGGGGCCAAATCAGCTTGGAGAAACCTTCCCCAGTCTCGATGTCGAATTTATTGGAACAAGCTGCAGGTAAGAATCCATATTTTGGGGCCATTCCATTGAGTGCACGTGCCCCTCTGTGCTTCTCAAACGCATAAAATTCACCCCTTACAACTGAGCTGGAAAAAAACCATGTTGTGTGCAGTCTAACTTTAGGCCAAGTATATTTTACCCCCTTCGAATTTAACACAAATGTAACTGAGTCCTTAAATTACAACATCCACCTGTCCCTTTCCCAAAGAAGAGATAGTTGCAAGGTTTTTATCCCAGGGTCAGACAAACTTATATCAAACTGAGTTCACGTGCTTTTATTCCCCTTTTTTACATTTCCCTTTTCCATGAAGGTTTTTGATGCAAGAAAGGTGACTAATTCTCGCGACATGTTCGAAATGTTGTGCAAGCATCTACTGTACGCGACAAACAAGGGGAACGTGAGGTACGTATTTAAGGAGATATTTTAATAGAGACCTAATATCAAATGAGTCATTTTAGATTTAGGATGGATTACGACATGCATTGATATCCAATTTTGGGGGGTTTTCTTTTTACATCTCACAAAATATTTTACATCTTACAAAATGTAGATACATAAATATATATATAAATCTTACAAAATTGCAATCAAAATATCTTGTAGGAGATACAAATGCTTATCCCTCTTAAATATAAATATTGCGTAATTCTTGACACGACATTGCGTTCAAATAAAAATTTGTCGTATACCACCTTCATAAAAGGACCCGATTTTGGTCTCGTGAATCTATCTCACCCTCTGTATTGCCCTTTTGTATTAAAGGCCCACTGCACTACTTGTAGCTACTTGCGCCCTCTATATAACAAACCATGCCTAATCGGTGACCATTGGTCCCCCATGATCCTCTTTTTCTTATGTTAACTGAGAGCTGAGTTGATGAGATAACCACCTGTCCAGTGACCTTGCAGGGCAGTCTAATCCCTCCTGTAAACTATGGCAGATACGCTTTAACCAGTTTCCCACTCACAAGAACCATGAATAACTGTGGCCATTTAATAATCTTTGTTCAATCTTAACATTTTACAAGAACTTTAAGGACTAGAAATAACGGCCTATAGGAAGACAAACAACGCAACAACAACAAAACATATTTTAAAACCCTATTCTGTCTTTTTAATTGCTGCAAGGTTGTCAAAGTGATATCTTTGCCGCTATACGTGGTAGAGCCGTTCGATCGATAAGTAGGCCTGAAGATCCAGTGCTGCAGCAAAATTGTTCATGTAGAATGATAACATATAAGCCAGTTCATAGATACAATCTGCGCATGGGCAGATAAAGGTCATTTGTACCAAAAAGGTAAAACCCACAGAGATGTATACTGGATATGCGCTCATGAAAGTTATGTAACATTATTCATTTATGCACCAACGGTACATTTTATGATACGCAGGTGGAAGTATTCTTTTCAAGAGGGGCAAGCAAAAGGTACTCATGAAGCACATCTAGGACTTTGGCAGTTATTATTCTAAGATGCTCAAAGTGGAACTTCTCCATGTGTAAAAGATCTGTGGATATTTGGGGTCATTTGTACCATGTGCTATCTGTAAACTCCCTTATAGTGACCTCTGCATTTTTCACAATACATAACGAAATGAAAATTCTTGTCATTGTAACCTTGTTATGTATAATGAGAATTCTTGTCATTGTAACCTTGTTATGTATGTATAACACGTAGAAGTGATATCGATGAAAAAATCGAATTCGGAAAAATGACTATCAATGCACTTTATTACAAAAACAGAATAAATTGTTTGTTTGGGCGTCCGGGAAATTAAAGGGGAAAAAAGCAATAGGCAAGTTAGTTTGAGATAGTTCACAAAAAATTCGTGGATCAAATCTGTTTCATTATCTGCAGGCCAGCAATCACCGTGTTCCCGGCTCGTAATGGCGACAATCAGACGGATTTTCGGATTTGGAACTCGCAGCTAATCGGATACGCGGGGTACCGGCAACCCGATGGATCAGTACTCGGGGATCCGAGCAATCTGGTGTTTTCTGAGGTGTACAGAGAAATTTTAAAATCAATATTTTTAAAACGAACAAAATGAATAGGGATGAAGGCGGATTCCAAAAGAAAATACCAACACAAATGTAGATTCAATTTGAAACCAGGGCTGGATAAAATTGAACTACATGAGTAAAGGCATAAAATATACAGGACTACGAAATGAATACGTGCAGAAAATAGGATTTTGTCATTTTCAATATAATTTTTATGATTCAAAGATTACTTCTAATTTGCTCCTATTTACTATAATATAACACACAAAATACATTTTGGATATTTTTAATGTCAGTTTAAAAGAATATCCTAATAAAAATGTTCTCTGAAAAGGATTCATCTTCAAATGCCCGAGCTCATAATCGAAATAGGTCGAGAAATAGGGACCAAACATTAATGCCACACGTGTGCGTAGTCCAATATACCCATTTCTGTGTGCATTGCATATGGAATTTAGAATCTCATTTCGAGGCAGAGGAGGTGGAACCGAAAGGGCGGGGGTACGGTGCCCCCTACTTTTGCAGGTACTCCTAAAGCGCCTCTTTTACTTAAGATAAGTGCCCCCTTTTATTTATAATAGGTGCCCATTCCACATTCCTGTAATTGCTTCTAACCTCCTCTGAAAAGTGCCCCCTTCACCTATGATAGTTGCCCTATTCAAATCTGAGAGGTGCCCATTTTATTTTAACAAGTGCTCTTTTCCTTTGTAATAAGTACCCCCTTACCCTTTTGATAAGTGTCCCTATTGTTTTGAAACGTGTCCCTTATCTTTTCTAATAAGTGCCCCTTTTCCGTTCTCATAAGTTTTGTCATCTCTGGTGAGTGCCCTTTTACTTTGACATGTGTTTTTTGTTTGTTCTTCTTTTCTAATTTGTGTCATTTTCCCTTTGGATATTTGCCCTCTTTTTCTTTCACCATTATGTGTGATTCTAATCTTATGCAACTAAGAGCAACTTTTTCTTTAATTTCACCCAAAGCTCGCTTGCATTTAAGGTTTACATAATTATGTTTCTTATCACAGATTTTTTGTTCAGGCTTTCATGACTAAATTGTGCTTTAAACTCCACCAGGTTTGCTTTTCGTCTTTATGTAATCGTTTGCACTGCGACCTCAGAAATCTTTAAATGTTTGCTCGCTCGCTTCGCTCACTTGCAAATAAATATACAGACCATCACACCGAATGCAAAGTATGATGCTTAAGCAGTATCTTGGGACATGTAAAGAGAGAAAAAAACATTGAAATCACAGTGTAGGGGTATATACAAACGTCTACAAAAATTGTGTATTTTCGCCTTGAGATTGTTCTTTGTAGGTGCCCTTTTTTTTTTTTTTTTTTTTTTTTTTTTTTACAGAAGGTGCCCTTTTTATAGGTGCCTCCCCACACTTTTAAAGACGCTTCACCGCCCCTGTTTCGAGGATTCTAAAACATCCCTACATACAACAATTCTTACGTACTACGCAATCAACCTTTCCCAATTGCTTCTAGACAGCTCCTTCCACAATGACATCGCATGACCAGAGATCACATTTATCTTTATCATCAACATTAATTGATGAAACAACATTTTCTGGTACACGTCCTCTTTTGACTTAACTTGTCTGTCTTTTCATATTATTTTCAGGTGTGCCGAACTCTTGGATGGCGGAGTGATCGAACTCGCTTCGATGTTCTCCCACTGGTTCTCCAAGTCAACGGCGAAGATCCCGAGGTCTTCGAGATCCCGCCGGAGCTCATTCACGAAGTCGAACTCGCGCACCCAGAGTGAGTACTAACAGTGGGGTAGCAGGGGTCAAGCAATGGAGGGGGCATCACGGGGGGGGGGGGGGGGGGCAGCATGATCATGGTGGAAGAAGGGGGCATCGGTGTTATACGATTAAGGGAGAGGTAATGCGGGAGGGGTCCTATCCTCATTTGTGCGTCCTTTTGCGCCTCTCCCTCATCATTCATCACTTTAATTATTTTATTTTTTCTCGCTTTTATTTTGCGAACTTTATGTGACACAGGTTCGTAGAAATGTTATACCATAGCTTGTTTTCATATCAATAAAATACGATTTTTTTTTGTTGTTGTTGGATTTTTTAAACGCTATAAACTGATTTAGGATGGTTAATACAAATAGTCCGAAATATAGCATTAGGATTTTCATCCTCATCCTCTGTGTCTGTTGATCGTGTTTTATTTAGTTTCCTCTTCTCTTTTTTAATTCATTTTCGCTCTCATCGTCGACGCAGACTTCGCTGGTTCATGGACCTGAAGTTGAAGTGGTACTCGATGCCTTCCTATTCAAACTTCCTCCTTGATGTGGGAGGCATCCAGTTCCCGGCATGCCCCATCAACGAGTGGTACGTGGCATCCGACATCGCCAATAATGCGATGTGTGCACCCAAGCGTTACAACATGCTTACGGTGAGTAGAGCTCTCACGTTCAAACAAGATTTTATTTATTTATTTCTATTTATTATTCTTCTGCTTCTTTACCTTTCCTTCTTCTTTTTTTTTTCTTCCTTCTTCTTCTTCTTCTTCTTCTTCTTCTTCTTTTTCCTCTTCTTGTTCCTGTTTTTGTTCCTCTTCTTTTCTTCTTCTTGTTCTTCTCCTTCTTCTCTTTCTTCATCCCTTCTCTTTTTACTATTTCTTCCTTTTCTTCTTTTTCTTTTTGTCCTCGTGCTTCCTTTTCTCTTTCTTCTTTATTTTCATCTTCTTTCGTTTTTTTAATATTCTTCTCCTATAATCAATTTATATATTTTTTTTTCTTCTCAAATGTATAAGGTGTCATAGGTATGACATATCATAACACAGATTTGTATATCATTTCACTTGTGCAAGACTTATACAAATAAATTAGACTCACTCAATTCAGTATTTGTATGTGTAAAATTGTGCAAATATGTTTTGTTAACCATGTTTATACGAATGTTCAAATCTAATTCTTATTGCAGATGATTGCTGAACGTTTGGGCCTGGATATATCGTGTACAGACTCACTATGGAGAGATAGGACACTGGTTGAAATGAACGTAGCAGTTCTTCATAGTTTCCAGGTATCTTTCGGACAAGCTTTGAACATAGATCCATCTCATGATATATAATGTATCTTTATTCAAACCTAATGTTTATTAAATATTCGACCAGCCTTTTCTGTAGATTCCTTCCTTTCTATGCAAGATAATAGCCATAACCATGGGTAAAAATGATTTTTGACGGGGTTACTTTCTACCTCTCCATCTCTACCTTCCCCTCTCTCTGTCTGTCTGTCTTTTTCTCTCTCGCTCTCTCACACACAAACGCACACAAACAAAAACACACACTAACACACACACGCACTCTCTCTCCCCTCTCTCTCTCTCTCTCTCTCTCTCTCTCTTTGAGTCCCTCCTTTTCTCCCCTCATTCCACCTAATCAAGTCAAATCAAATTTAATCTTAATCTCCCCCAGCAATATGGCGTGACCATCATGGATCACCATACGTCTTCGGCGGAGTTCATGAAGTTTTTTGCCTCCGAGCACGAGATCAGACAGGGTTGTCCCACTGATTGGCGAGCCGTGGTCTCACCGTTGACTGCTAGCTTGACTTCCCTCTTTCACCAAGAAACGCTCAACTACCAGCTGATGCCAACATTCACCGTACAGGTATATAGTCCTGCGCGCCATTGGTGGAGGTGTCGTGGTATAGTGGTTCAGTTACTTGACTCTCAATCCAAGGGTTGAGGGTTCGAATCCCAGCCCAGTACTATTAATGTCCTTTGGCAAGATATTCACGCATATTGCTCACTCTCGACCCAGGTGTTAATTGGGTACCCGGTAGGATGCGAAAGTCATTGCAGTTTGCTCAGCATTGTGTACGTATGTAAACTCGTTAATTCCTTACTGGAATGCTCCCCAAGGAGTGGGGTATGTGTAAATATTGTGTGTTGGCAAGCCTGAACCCGATGACCGAGGTACTTATAATATGCGTAAAGCGCTTAGGGACATCGGCGATTTATTAATTTGAGAGCATTATTATTTAAGTCAGTTTATACTCCATACATTATGTCCCATTAGGCTTATTGGTCAGTTGAAACATAACACTTACCATAAACATTCATTCTAGTCCAAACATTATGACATAAGGCCAAACCTTATCCTAATAGGATGTACATGTGTGATTAAAACAGTACTAGAATTGGTCCTACGTCTAACTGGTCCCATAACTTTAATTATCACGTAGATGCCGATTATCTGACAACAAACCCGGTAGGCTATGCAAAACTTTTTTGGTTAATGTCCCAGGAAGATAATGCCTCGGACATTATACTCCAAGGAAAACTACCCTAGCTCTTTTTTCCTTTCTTAAGACCCTTGTTGGAACAGCTCTGCTGTAGTGGCACAGCTTTGCAGGGCGATTCTTCTGAAATCATTTTGTAATGTTATCATGAATGCTTTTATTTATACTTTTTTTTTATATTTGGTATAAATCAAACTAAATCAAATCGAATCAAACACCTAATAAATTACCTTTGAATTAAGTAGTTATCTGAGGTGTAATTAGGGTTATTCTTGTGGGTGAAGTTTTTCACCGGAGTGTCGTATGGGATTAGTTGTCTTAAGGTACAATAGTGCGGGGGTAATAATTTACAAATTTGTCACCTATTTGCCCTCCCCCCACCCCGCCCCTTCATGACGACCATGATAAGTACCAAAAATTGGAATTTTCTTTAACAGGATAACCCATGGGAGGTACCGGAATGGAAATCGAAGTTATCGTCGGGAAGACTCAGCACAGATAGACTCCGTTCGCCGGGGGCAGAGTAAGTAATGTTGCTGACCAATTTTAGGGCAGTTAAAGATACTATGTCCCTTTTGTAGCCAACATCAAGTTCTGCAGAATTTTGCTGGAATTAATATTATGTCATGTATGTCCTCTCTGTGAAATTTAAACATTAACAGTGTCCTAGTATTCATATTATGCGAGGAAACCCGGTTACCTTCTAGACTTCACTGACAGACACTATTGAGTGACTGACTGTTTTTTTTTTTCTTTGGTAATAACATACATATTAAAAATGAGCTTTAACAGGTACAAGAGCATTATTTTGTCAACATCAATAACCCACTTCTTGTATTGGCCAAAATTGATTGAATGTTTGTGCAGCACCAAACGTACTACCATTCGGTAAAAGGTTCAGAAGATCGGACTGTTACTTAGGTGATTGCAATCACTTAAGTCGATTTGACAACTAATGGTCGTTATTTTCCAACTAAAGGCCATTTTCAAGCCCTTTCGAATTGAGGGAACTTCTAAATTAGTATTGTCTTTTAAATGTCATTGGAATTTAACTTTTTTCATTTTTTGGCCTGCAAATGGGACATAGTACCTTTAAAGCTTGTTCAGATGTGCCGCGGTAAACTTCCGCGGTTTTTGTTACTTGTACATGAACGGTGACTGCGCGCAACATTTACTTACTTACACTTTACGTCTTCATAGAAGAAAAGATAAAACGCCGCGGTTTTTCCGCGTCATACATGTATATTTGAACAAAGCCTTAAGGCAGAACCTGGGCGATTTATGTTTGATTTATAGCATAAAGCTATCCATGATTGGGCAAAATTATCCAAATTGGGCATGAAATTGCCCCCAAAAGTTTGTCGGACACATAATTTCCCTCATGTTTGGCAATTTCTTATACCCATGATTAATTTACAGTGATTTATAATGCTTCAGTTAGAAGAAGATAATCCCTAATTGCTTTCTTCTTTGTCTTGATTCTTAAATCCACCCTCATCATACATCATTTAGTGTTCATATAGTTTATACACAGAATTATATAAGGAATAACGTCAATTGGTACTGAATTCTGAAGGGGACGGTGGAGTTACATACAGCCGCAAATATCCTTTAGTAAACCCCACGTTGTATCAGCTCATGTTGCGGAACTAGAGAAGTAGGGGCCCATCCCCCCCCCCCACCAAACCCGAAGAAAATTGTTTTAAACCGTTATTCAACATCTCCATAGATACCCCGTTAGTATGGTTGAATGATTTACATTACATTACAAATGGTTTCTTTCTTAAAATGTCTGAACATCCAAGCGATTTTTGTTAGTATAATCAATATTATTTGATGTTTTTTTCCAGTCCGTCACGATTTTCATCACGCATTTTACGTCGCGCCCTTTCTGGTACTTTCAAAGCCACCGTACTCTACGCTAGCGAGTTCGGCAAATCGGAGTATTACGCGAAGAAAGTTTACGAAACATTCCGAAAGGCCTTCGACATTCGTCTACTGCGCATGGACGAATATGACGTCATGAACCTGGAACATGAGAATCTCCTGTTGGTTGTAACCAGCACGCTTGGAAACGGGGAACCGCCTAGCAACGGACAGGTTTGTCAGAGTGCCTATTCATGAGTGCGAATTGGCTCTACAATAATATTTAGCAGGAAATTTTAGTGGCAATTCACCCAGTTTTCTATAATGATCGGCATACCAGTCAATAAGTATACTTTTGATTGAATTTTGTATATGATTTATTTTAAGTGCAATATGTGTGACTTAAACTTGAAATGAAAGTGAACACTCATATATGTAATTCCGCTTTTTGTTGTAGATGCCATGAAAATTCTACTTTTTTCACTCTTTTACGTCGTCTAAAAAACCGAAAAAATCTTCTGTTTTGTATTTCTTGTTTGTGGTTGATAAAGATGAAAAGTGCAGTTAATACGCTCATTATCATCTTTAATAAAGTTGCTATCTTAAATACCATATCTGAACTGACAAATAAATCAACTTAAAGCTTATAAGCCATATATTACAATGGGAGTCTGGCTAACTCGGACCAAAGACAACTCAGCCAAGCTGCAAAAACGGTCAGATTTTGCGGGTTTAGGGTTAGGGTTAGGGTTACGATTAGGTTTAGGTTTAGATTTAGGGTTAGGGTTAGGGTAGAATGACAAAAGCTGACTGTTTTCTCAGCTGGGCCGAGTTAGCCCGGATTCATTACAATGATATCAATTATATGTCATTTTAATGTCTGTCAGAGGAGTATCAGCTCTCTGAAAACTCAAAATCTAAAGCTTTGAAAATCGGAAGTTGTCGAACTAAACACTTTCTATCGACCTGATGCCATCATTGTATGTGGAGTACGCATATTCACAATGACTTTGCATTGATTAAGCACAGCTAATCGCCTCAGCTATATAGGTGAACCGGTCGGGTCCACATGTTATGTCGTCACTGTAGCTTCGGCAAATTTGACCCCAGTTGACCCGTAATTTGGAGGGGTGCGAAAATTAGGTTTTTAATTTGCTTTTGTGCAATAATGAAAGGGAAAAAACTTGTTATTCCTTTATTTTTGTATTCTACATTCATTCAGTTTTCCATTTATATCAAGTTTTTATATCGGATAGGGCCTTTAAATATTTGATTCCAATCTCTCTTTCAGGAGTTCTGTCGTTATCTGATGGAAATGTCGGATAATAGCAACAACAGGTCACCCGTTCCTCAGTAAGTATTGATTTAAATTCTTATAGATAATTCGTGACTAAGAAAATTATCAAAAAATCTTCTATCACGTTTATCAATTGATATATTTTCATGTGAAAGAGCTATGTATTGTGAAAGAAACGGTGTGGACGGTATGCAAGTGTGAAAGAACATCAGAGAGAAACTGTTCTCTGATGTTCTTTCACACTTGCATAATAACAATGATAACGCTCATACATTATCTTTCACCTCTCCCCAGAACTCAATCTTCTCTTTAAATGAGAGAAACCTATTTCTTCGTCGCAACAGATATTTGAAGAAATAAAGCAAGACTGTGATAGTTGGTCGATTTCGCTCAAAAGCATAGAAAATGTATGATTTCATCCGTATGAAACACGACAAGGTCATTTAACATTACTCCTACATGAATGATGAAAGTATTGACAGTGATATAATAACATCTCAGACACGGCGCATATCCCAATGTGATTTTGAACACGGAAGTCCTCAAAAGAGGAGAAGGTACATTCCTGGATTTGTGCTCCAAAGTTAGGCAGCATGGGTTTCAAGAGGTGGACGCAAAATCCGGTAAAAAAAGTAATAATAATAATAATAATGATAATAATAATAATAGTAATGATACTCATAATATTGCTATTAATGATGGTTATGATAATAATAATAAAAAAATTATAACAAGTAAAACCCGCAAGTAATAATCGTAACCCCTTTTGCTTTACTTCGTTCGTATAGGTCTCCGATTTCTCCACGATGTGAGAAGTTTTGTGACGCGAACCCTCTGGCCGAAGTGTCGAACGATGGAGGGTTCAATCTACGAAGAGCTGGTATGCTGGGGAGCCTTAGGTAGGAAAGCAAAATAAAAGTATATAATTTTCTCAGTTTCTTTAAACAAATCACCCTAAGGCAATTGCAAAAAGAGTGGTGAAGTGTGACGTCATCAAAAAATCTATTTTTAGAATTTCTCAAAAAAATTTCTTCATATTCCGAAAGAACATCAAAAATAATGTCCAAATGTCGAAAACCAATTGAATATGTTAAGTATTGGCTGAGATATGACCATTTGAATGAATATATGTCCTATGGGAACTCAGTGTTATATGCTCTGGATCCTAACCATTAGGAGCCAGAGCATATAACACTGAGTTCCTATGGGGAGTATATTTATTCAGATGGTCATATCTCAGCCAATACTTAACATATTCAATTGGTTTTCGACATTTGGACATTATTTTTGATGTTCTTTCGGAATATGAAGAAAAAAAATTGAGAAATTCTAAAAATAGATTTTTTTATGACGTCACAGCTTCGGTACTCTATAGCTTTGTGCGTCACTTTTTGAAAGGAACGAACATATACTAAGCCGAATACGTAATCCAAATATGATTATATTGGATATACGAAAGGGTATTGAAATTGCACCTCAGTTGATTAGGTCACTCATATTGCACTTAACATAAATAAGACTGATTTAAAAATTAACAAATTCTGTCATTAGTATATTCATATTCATTGACTGGTATGCGAACCGAAATTGAAAACTGGGCGAATTGCACTTTAAAAAAAAATCGAAAGTAGTTGTGTTAATCTTACTTTCAAGAGAAAATTTAACTCTTTAGAATCCGTATGAAAAATACGTGTAATTATTTCGCAATCATAAGCAAATTTGGAAAACGAAGGGGGGGGGGGGGAAGACGTTTATTCATTGTTGAGGCCAAGGTTAAGGTCTTGCAAGAAAAGCTTTTGTTGAAAGAGATCTTTTTTTTTTTCATTGAAAATCATGATCAACTTTCGCAACTTATTGTTATTTCGATATTTATATCCATCCCTTTATCGATATTTCATTCCGTTTTGATGGACCAAAAACTGTAAAATTTAATGCAACTTGAAATTTGAAAAGCAATAAGACCGTTGAATTAAGCGCTGACAAATTATTGTTATTGTGATTACTGTTATTATAATTGTTTTTATTATTATCATCATCATTATTACCGTTTTTATTGTACATATCTTTATCATTATTATTATTATCATTATTATTATTATTATTATTAATATCATTATTATTATTGTTATTATTATAATAATTGTTTTTATTTATTAATAGAACATAGTAGAAGCAAAGGTATAGTAATATTTGTACTAGTAGTAGTATTTAATTTTTGTCTTCATAATCCAAGTATCATTGATAATTTAATCATTATTATCACAGTTACCATCACTATCATCTCCTTGATTGTTGTTATCCTTATCATCGTCATTATTATTATTATTATCTGTACATTCAGCTATGGAGTGTTTGGGTTAGGATCCAGTATCTACCCGTACTACTGTGCCTTTGCCCGTGGCGTAGACCAGATGTTGGACTCGCTCGGGGGAGATCGACTGGTCGGCATGGGATGGGGGGATGAGATGGGCGGACTGGATGAGACCTTCGATGCTTGGCTCACCAAAACATTCATGGTAGGCGCACAAGTGATAGGGAAACAAAGTTTTTCATTTGATGGTGCGGCTTTCTGGAACACTTTACCTAATTTTTGTCATCAAATTCTTCATTTACTCTTTTGTTTTGGCGCTATAATAATTTAAATCATTGAACTGGCCCATTGTGTTGGTTTTGTTTCTTTTCTTTTGTTCGAAAATGTTGTAACTTAATTCATTTTTGTTTCGATTTGGATTGTTTGTTTTCAATATGTTTGTTAATTTTGTATTTATGTTGTAGGGCCTCCATGGAAAACAGTATTTAACTACTGATGGAGCCACCCTACTAAAAAAAGACTAATTAATAAAAAAAAAAAAAAAAAAAAATAAGTGATTGGTTACTTACATGTGGTTATTGTGATGGTTTGCCAATCCGAGTTCCGTTAAATTATCAGGACGTTTTTTTTCTTCAGAAAGTTCTAAATATACCGAAGGTTCTTGATTCCGAAGGTTCTTAATTCGAAACGTTCATAATTCCGGAGATTGTTAATGCTGAAAGTTCATAATCCGAAGGTTCATCATTCCAAAGGTTCTTGATTCCGAAGGTTCTTGATTCCGAAGGTTCTTAATTCCGAATGTTCTTAGTCCCGTAGGTTCATTATTCCAAAGGTTCGCAATTGGGATAAATAATAAACCCTATTTCATTTTTGGAATTACGAACCTTCTGAGTAATGAACCCTTCATTGTTTCTCGGAATTACGAACCTTCAACATTCTGCATGATAAAAGAACCTTCTGAATAACAGTATCCCACCTCCAGAATAATATGCATTCAGGGTAACACATCCATACAAAAGTATGGATTTTTACAAACCAGGTTTGTAAAAAACGCGCCAAAACGCGTCATATGACGTACATAAACCTCGGTTTGTCGACAAACCTCCTTTGTGAATTCGGGCCTATTTGTTTAACTCTTCTTTCTTTTGTCGGGAAGCACGTACACGCCCTTCACCCGCCCCTGGATCTTCTATTGATCTCCTAAATTTGTCTTTTAATTATATAAAATGGGGATTATTAATATCATTGGTTTTGTGTTATTCATTAAATGTCAACTATTTTATTTTTTTTTCTTGCTTTTCTTTCTTTTCCTCCCTTAAATGTTTAAGATTGATAAAAGTATTACGAGAAATGTAAGTAATTGCCATCTTTGTATTATTTTCCCGAAGAGGCATGTTATTCGTTGCTATTTCTGTTTATTGTAATTTTGACATTATTTTGCACTCTTAGCTTTTTTTGTATTACACGACGATTCTGACTGTTGTTATATTTTCTAGACAGAAATTGAGAATGATCCAACGTGTTCAGATTTATATCTATAAATGTGGATTTGAATTTGAATTTATTTACAGGCAGCGTGCGAGAAGTTCCACATCGGAGACAGCGCCTCCGGGATAACGCCCAACCCTACCATGGCCGCCCCTGGCTCGGACTGGGCCGCATCTAAGTTTAGGATCTATGCCGCAGGAAAGGACGTCAAGTCCACCTCTCCTGCACCTGATCTGTGTGATGCCCTGAGCCAGCTCCACGGGCGTAAGGTCTACCCTTGTAACATCATCTCGAGGAAGAGTCTTCTACCTCCAGAATCCAGGTGAGTGGAATGGTTCTAGGACAACTACCCCCGGACAACTATACGACAGCCATTTCCTAGGACACCTATCCCCTGGACAAATATCCTAGGGGTAGTTGTCCGGGGGGCAGTTGTCCGGGTGGTAGTTGTCCGGGGTAGTTGTCCCGGGGGTAGTCGTCCTATAGGGTAGTTGTCCTATGGGGGTAGTTGACTGGGGGTGGTTATCCGGGGGTGGATGTCCAGGGGGTAGGTGTCCGGATACGGAGTGGCTTATCCGTAGTAATTCTTTTGTAAATTTGAATTATTGATACTCCTTCACAAAAGAAAATTGAAACAATCTGACCAATGAATCGCTAATTTAAAAAAATCTCAAAAGATTAGAACCTAATGTAACAGATACTCTTTGTTCCTTCAAATCAATTTCATAAATATTCATAATTTCAAGATATGAAATGCATCGAAGGGAGAGCCATCGTGTTCCTAATGTAGTTGTTTTTGGTTATTTTTTTTGTGTGTGTGTGTGCGTGTAGGCCTATGTGTATGTGTGAGAGAGAGAGAGAGAGAAAGAGAGAGAGAGAGAGAGAGAGAGAGAGAGAGAGAGATGTGTGTGTTGCGTGTGATTATTCGTGAACGGAAATGTAAAATTCACTCTTTTTGACGATGTTTCATCACCAACGGTTGATAAAGCCAACTTTCTTAGTGCTTATTTAGATAGTTTCTTGTCTTGGAAATACCATATTATATAAACCATGGTCAGTAAGTGAAACGTAAAGTACCTCTATTAAAAGTGACCCTAAATCAATTAGAGCTACCTAATTTTTCAGGACGTGCCTATAGGTTTTTTTTTCTTTGTTCATAATTAGGTGGTCTGTCAATTTTTTTTCCTTCGTTTTGTTTAGTATCGGTAGATCCTATCCTTATGAGGACACTAAAGATCATATGGAGAGCAACTTGTTCAAATGTAACAATGTTTGATCATTATCTACAGTATTTGTTGTGGCTCGAAGCAAGAAGATACCGGATTGCCTAATATCTCCTTCCCCAGAGCCAATTATATTTCAATTTAATGTGAAACTTGATATTCTTGATGTTCCTTTCCACTTCTTCAAGTCGTTCCACTATTTTGGTTCGCCTCAATACGAACAAAGAAAGGGGCATGGCGTACCAACCCGGTGATCACGTGGCTTTCTTTCCGTCCAATGAAAACGCTCTGGTAGCGCGCGTGCTCAAACGACTCGACTACCAAAAGTCCCCGGATGCAATATTCAAGTTGGAAAAGCTGGAACCGCGGGAGACACAACTTGGTATGTTAAGTATTGGTTTTCTTGGAGCATGCCCTATTTAATCGTAGATAATTTTTAGGCCTACTTATCAAAACACCCCCCGAGTTCGTGGAGATAACGACGGTTGGAAAGGGTTTTCATTTCATTTAATATATAAAGTCAGAATAAAACAACCGAACTCCAAAAATAAAACACCATTTAGCAAACTAGATTGGGAGGGAGGACACACGGTTGGAATAACTCGAAGAGAGAGAGAGGGAATTAGCAAATGCACAAAATATGATAAAAAAGACATGGTAAAGAGAATGAATTGTTTTAAATACTAAATATTACACGGTCGCAACTATTTTCTAATAACAACTCAAGGACAATTACAATACTGCATTGTATATCTCACAGAAATCATTCAGCAATACATCACTGTCATGTTGGCACATTTTAATAGGTGACACACAAAGCTGCTGAAATTGACTTAGGTTCATTTTTAGAAAGTAGTTCCGATCGTGTTAATAATTATAAATCATTATATTATATATCGTAACACTATTTTTCATCTCCATACAAATTCTAAGGTATGTTAAAGGTTTGGACAACAGTTTCCCGCCTACCGACTTGCTCATTGCGGACCGCACTAGAGCGCTATCTGGACCTCACGACACCCCCGACCCCAGACTTCCTCCGTCTCCTAGCAACCAGGGCTACAGACCCGAGAGATAAGGAGAAGCTCAGCATCCTGGGAGCGGTAATTCTATTGCATCAGTTCAAATAGAATTAGAATTCTAACTCGATTTTCTACCCTTAAAAGAATTCTTCAAAATGGGATTAATCCATTATCGATCCTTGAATGTTTAAAATATAGTGTGTAATTGATATGCTAATAGCCACACAACTTAATTCATATCTCACGTCCGATTTTTGAATTGAATTTCAAAGATTTTTGAATAGCCATCTCAAAAAAGCATAGACATGAATTATTCGACAATATGCCTATCTGAGTGCGAATTTGACCAGTGTCGTAGCATCTAAGAACACACACAAAAATAAATAAAAGAAAGGGGACTGGACGAGGCATATTGTGCTCCCATACTCCCCGTCCCCTTCTTTCGGCCCTGTTTTTCTTGAATGAAAAGTAAGACCCCCCCCCCCCCCCCATAATGGGTCTTACCATAACACCAGTGTCCGGTGCCTCAGAAGCTTGACCCAAGCCACCACTCTAATTTTGCTCATTCTGAATATTTTTGTATAACTGATCGAGCTAATGAGAGCAAGCTTGGAGCACTGAGAATAATACCACTAACCGTGCCCGACCTAAAGGCGCAATCGGAACGGGAACAATAATACATCAATGTGTAAAATCGTTTTCTGTCACATCGCCCCAAAACAATGGCTATGCACCAAGAATTCTAACTGTGGCAAGAACTGTATTTACCCAAAAAACAATCTCGGTCTTTCCCAACCTTTACACCAGGGATGTGACGAGTACGAAGAATGGAAGTGGGAGAACTGGCCCAACATGGCGGAGGTGCTGGAAGGGTACCCCTCTCTCAAGGTTCCTGCATCCCTGCTCCTAACCCAGCTCCCCCTCCTCCGACCAAGATACTTCTCCATCAGCTCCAGTCCCAAGCAGTACCCTAACGAGATCCATGCTACTGTGGCCGTGGTCTCATATCATCCTAATGGTTAGTGTTAGTCTGTGGTAGTAGAAGTAGTAGTAGTAGTAGTAGTAGTAGTAGTAGCAGTAGTAGTAGTATTAATGATAATAATAATAAAATGGTGCTTTAAAGCGCTTTCCACAGAATTCTCTAAGCGCTATAACAAAAAATATTAACAAGCAATTATATATTGAACATATCGTTAGTAGTAGTAGTAAGCCTAGTAGTTATCATCATCATTTTCCTCATCATCATCAAGCTGATAATATAGATAATAATACAATAAATAATAATGATAATCATGATGATAATGATAATGATGATAAGAATAATGATAACTTATAGTAATAATGACGTTGATGATAATAGTAATAATGTTAATAAATAACGATAGAAGAAGGAGAAGGAGGAGAAACAAAGAACAGTTACCTTTTGGCTGGCGCTTATTACTGCATTTCTAATTCCTTTTATTCACACTGTTATTAATATTACCCCGGTTATTGCTAATCCACACATGATAGTGCGCACTCTGCGCTCCTTAGGGAGTATGCAGGCCAACTAGGCGCCATTTTACCATTTTTGCAATCGCACACTTACCAATCCAACCACACTGATCTTTTAGACCACTGCTCTACCGCTGGGCCATCGGAGGTTAGCGGCTAACTTGGGCAAAGCGTTCGACACAAAATTCTTTCAATTCTATATTCAATTATGGCAGGCGGTCGAGGCCCGGTCCACTACGGAGCATGCTCATCGTGGCTTTATCGGGCGTGGAAGGATGAAGTCATACCAGCGTTTGTGAGCTCGTAAGTAAAATTCAACAGCGTCCTTAATTGTCTTTGAATATTTCAGAGCCAAAGACTTTATGAGCAAGTCACAGAAGTTTGAAAGGTGAAGTCTTTAAGAGGGTTTTTAGTAATCTGAACAATGCTTACCAATGAAAAGAACTGGTCAGTCTCGATACATTTCGAACCATGTACTTTCTCTTATGGGAAAGGGGCACAAATCATATAGGGAAATCGCTAATGGCTCTAGATTTAAAAGTACACAGCAACTGCATTTACTTTTTTTTTGTCCTTGAACCGAAGTACAAACAATCAACAGTGCGAGAAGAAAACAAAATTATTCTAAAACTCAAAACCTTATGATGAAACATTTTCACTAGCATTTTCATCATCATTATAATCAATATCATCATCTTTATCATTATCATAATTATATGGTTATTATTATCATTATCGACAACCATTATCATAATCATTAGCATAATTATTATCATTAACGTTATCATTATGGTTATTATTATCATGATCATCATTATCATTATCATTAGCGTTTCCTCCATTGCATCAAATGGTTCTGTAGCTCCCGTTTGACATTGAAAGAATGATTTTGGATCCATTTTATCAGGGCCCCATACTTTCACCTCCCCGCGGACACGTCTGTTCCAGTCATCATGGTAGGCCCTGGATCCGGACTCGCTCCCTTCCGTTCGTTCTGGCAGGACAGACAAACGGACCTCCGTCAGCTGGCTTCGTTCAACAGCGAGCTTGCCAGCAGCAGAAAGACCAAAGAGACAGACACGAGGGGCCGGCGTGGCGAAGGGGACGGTTCGGACACCTTCGGGGACATGACTCTGGTATACGGGTGCAGGAACGCCAAGGAAGATCTCTACAAAGGAGAGACGTCAGTGGCCAAGGATGAGGGAGCCCTGACGGCTGTACTGACAGGGTATTCGAGGGAGCCTGGTAAACCCCGGGTACGTATACTATCCTGTCTTGGTTCATTTTGACAATGGCAAATAGGTCGGAGTTTAAATACGCTTGTTTGCTTTTATTTTAAAACAGATATACATTTGGTAGGGAAACACACGCCAAAAATAAACATTCCACAGTGCAAATAATATCTCATGTTAGCACGAGTAAAATAAAAATAGCTTCATTTTAACTTTGTCTCTCTGTTTTTTCTGCAGATGTGTTTCATGTTTGATTCCAGACGCTTTTTGAAGATTTGCAAATGTATACATCTAATTCAACTATTTCTCTATGTTTAATTACTATCAGAAATACGTTCAAGACATATTAAAGGACCATCCATGGTTAGTTTATAACGTCCTATATCGACGTCAAGGTCACATCTACGTCAGTGGTGACGTCAACATGGTGAGAGAGGTCAGCAACACCATCGAGGGCATCATTGCTCAGTTTGGTCGCGTGGGGGCAGCAGAGGCAAAGGATTTCGTCCGGAGAATAAAGGTATTTTCTGAGCATAGCTAGTAGAATACAGATAGTTGCGACGTCAGTAAGAGTCGCTCTTACTCAGAGGTCGAATTCACTAGGCGCTAAACTACTTTCAAAGAGATTGCATGTTAGAATAAACTTCTTGGAGCTCCATTGATTAAGCAGATAACGTATCAAAACTATTTATCTCAACAGCTCAGGTTCTAAGGCCACGGATGGATCCAGGATTTTAAGAATGGAGGGAGGTTGGGGGATTTTGTTCCTCTTTATGTTAACATTAATTTAAAAAAAAAATTAAAAAACGTCCTCGTGAAATTTAGAGGTATTCAATATCCTTGGTAATAATTAAATTGAAACATGGTCACTTTTATCCAGGGTATCTTCGTCAGTATTAATACTACTCTGCCTGCAGAGCCCTGCAATTAGTATTACCATCTTTGTCAGGTACTCATTCAATACACCTGGGTCGAGGGGGGGGGGGGGGATGTGAAAAAAAAATCCTAGACCAACGAAGTTATAGCATCGAGCGAGTCTCGAATCTATATGACTTATTGTAAGGAGAGGGTAAAAAGCATTCAGCATTTTACCACACTGTACTTTGTAGTTATATTTCTATCTCTTAATTTTCGCTCAGATTTGACACGACAAATCTCTTTTTTTTTGTATATGATGACGTTCACATTTCTGTATCTTAACCATAGATCTTAACACAAAGCTTAGTGAATACGCAGAGGACCTTCGTTGCGCGCAGTTGTCATTCTTTACATGTTAAAAAGAAACCGCGGTAAATTTTCGAGGCAGTTTACTGCGTCATAACTGAAAGAGCATTTATTGGTTCATCTTTTCTTTCTAATCTTCCCCTTTCCCCCATTTATTCTTATTTCTTACCCCCTCCCACCTTTGTTTAATGCTATTTTTTACGGTTTTTTTTTTTCTTTAATTTTTTTGGCAGGATGAGGATCACTATCATGAGGAAATGTACGGTCTGACCTTGCATGTGAGTGAGGTCATGGAGAAAATACGTGCGGGCAAGAAAGGAACGCAAGTACTGGTGATGAACGAAGACAGGCCGAAACTGCAGCCTGTCATCGGGAGAAAAGGAGCTGCACTCGCAAAGGTTAGAATAGAAGAGAAAGCTGTAATTTTTTTTTTCTTCTAATGTGTAAGGGTTTGTTTTGAAAATACAATGAAACTATAACGACGCTTATTCTATTCTACATACAACACTGGTAAAAAATTGTCATTTTCAATGTTTTATATATCTCTACTTTGACAAGCGGGGTCCAACAATTTCTTTGGCTGGGGGGAAGGGGAGGATTAAAAAAATAGTTTCCTCTTTGGGTCAGAAGTTGCCGCCGGTAGGGCCGATAGCACAAATTAGATGAGGTTGATTTTTTTTTCTTAACCATACTTCACGTACATGCCTTATGCCGGATTTGATTTTACTCCCCCCCCCCCCCCTCTTCCCTAATCCACCAATCCACCACTGAGATATTATGTTAATGCATCCTCACCTCATCCATCTCTCTGTCTCTTTATCCGCAGCAACAAGAGGCTCTTCGAAAGGGAACTCCCGCGTCACCCACGTTGCCCCGACTGCGCAGGCGCGTGACAGCCACCATTCTCATGCGGTATAACAGCCTGATGGGAATGGACAAGAAGACAAAAGAGAAAGAAAAACCCCTGGCAGGAGTCAGACTAAGAAAGTAAGAACCAAAAACATCTTTAAGAATCTCATTTTCTTATCTTTTCTTCATATCTCCCCTCCCCCTGCCGTCCCGGTTATCTCTCTTTCTCTCTGTCTCTCTGTCTCTCTTTATATCTCCCTCTCCCTCTCCCTCTCTCTCCTCCTCCTCATTTTTACCCCAACCTATTGTCCCCCATACTCTCTCTCTCTCTTTTAACCCTCACCCCTTGACATTTCCATCTCCTCTAGAGGTCGACATTTCTGTACTATGTTCGTAGTACGCATGCATTCATATCATTATTTCTGATCCTATTTAACCTTCTTTTATTCTCTTCTTTTGTGGGGATGGATCAATTCTTGGGTAAATTAAAAATAAAGCAACCAAAATCATCTAAATCTGAATTTTAATACAAAATAGCACAATCAGCATTGACTGACATTTCACCTCGTTGTTCTCATCATTCTGGGATAATTTATATTTCTAAACCAAGGCCTATAGAACTAAACACGCTTCATTGAATTGTTTAAAACTAAAAACATCATTTTTTTAAAAACAATTTATAGCTGCCGACATATCAATGCTAACGAGCCCAAAGTAATAGATACAGTACTCTCTGAATCTGCGATCGATTCTAAATAGGAAGATCATCATGGTCACTTTTTCTAAAACATATTTATTGACTTCATTTCGCCCCTTGCAGACCAACAGATGACATCGCAGCCAGAACGAGACGCTACGAAGACGGGCGGCGGTACAGTACGGGAAGCTCAAGCCGTGTCCCCAAAGTCTGACTATTCTGAAAAAGAATTTTCAACACTGTGTAATGCTCACGAATATGATTTAATAATGTGTAATAATGTCATAATAGCGTATTGTAATGTTGCAAGTTTTCTATTTTCATTAATAATGGTTGAGTTTTATGCAACATTGTTTTTCACTTTAAAAGCTAAAGGCTCCTTATTTTTTTTACCAGTGATATTCAAAATGAAACGGGGAGGGGTTATTGAACATTTCAGTCGGGTTCTCTAAACTTCCTAATCTCATATTTTCTGTATCAAAATCTAAAATGTGGATTGATATTTTGCTGGCAAGGACATAATTATAATGGATTCTATCCAAATGCAATACAATGGGTTTTTTTTAATTTTATATTTTGTTAATAGTTTGTTTCGTATAACCGAGAGTTAATAAATTGACCACCCCCCTTGGTTTACCGATGTCTTGCTACGCCCCTGACAGCACATTGTCGTTGATTCTCTCTCTATAAAGACAGCCTCATGGTATATAAGAGCCTAAAGATTCTAAAACAGGTAAGACTTTATCCAGTGACGTAGATTGAGTCCACCCATAGATGGGCGCTAGAACGATGGGGAGGGGGGGGAGGGGCACCGATCTTTTTCGGAAAATGGAATAGACAAGGCTGCTTATTATTGGGGTTCCGGAGGTAGTGCATGCATCTCCTTTTCTCGTCATCTTCCCTGCCTCCCTATCCATTTCTCTCTTATCTTTCCTTTTCTTTTCTGTTTATGCATCACGATTAATGTATGGGGGGGGGGGGAGCATGTCCCTTTGTAGCTACTCCACCGACTTTATCAAATGACATGAAACTTATTATCAATACTAAAAAGCGGTACTATTGAAGTATGATATAATCTTCGGCAATCAGTGTGTTTAATCATAATGTAGAAACTAACCACATTACTCTCATACATTTGGTTCATATTCTATTAAAAGTTTAGAATTTTTCAGTTGTATAATAACATATTCAAACTGGCTCTCCCTGTTACTTCGAAATAACGCCTAGTACTGATTGATGTTGTCAGATATTAAATCATCAAAATAGTACAAATAAAGATTAATAACAATTTTTTTTAATTGGGCATAGCTGTCAAAGAAAGTTGAACAATCAGCTATAATGATCTACATGAAGGTCAAAGTTCCTGGCAAGAGCGCTTGTGAGTAGTTTTTTAAATTATCCGATGAAAAATGAAGCACGCTTGATTCGCTATCAATTATGATTTTGATGACATACATGTGTCACCGCTGAAATGAACAATGACTTTCACAACCCATATTGAAAAATCTCCACTTTTATTCTTCCTATTCTTCTTCTTCTGTTTCTTCTCCTTTTTTCTTCTCTTCTTCATCTTTCTCCCCCCCCCCCCTCTCTCTCTCTCTTTCATTCCCTCCCCCCTTTTTTTTTTAATTCTCTTTCATTTATTCATGCATTTCATTCTCTATTTCCGCTTTTTTCTTTCCCTAACCATTAAGTCTGTAAATATCTGTCCATTACTTTATTATTTCTTTCATTCCTTCTATATTGCATTTTTAATCATTCTCCCTGTTCCTTTATTCTTTAAAAAAAAAAACTTTTTCCCCTTCCTTTTCCAAGACTCTCCCATTTGAATATGACTGTTTTTTTTTCTTTCTAAAAGCAATTGAATCCACATGCTGACGCAAGATTTATTTATCATGATACAGAGATTTGTCATGTTTGTTGACCTTCTTTAAAAAAAAAAAAAATTTATGTGTTTATTAAGAAATCAAATCATAACATATACAAACCTTCCAAACAAATGCAAATGATGTGTTACAAAAGAAATTAATGACAAGACATTTCTTTCTTGTTAGTGGTTGCATGGTTTGTGTTAACTGATTGCTAATACAGCATATGTATGCCTGTAAGTAAGCAATGGCTCTGAAATCCTCTCCGTGGATAAATGAAGTTCAATGCCTTATCAAAGGGAAATAGCGCATCGACTTGGTTTCGAACCCGGGACCTCCCGGTAACGAGACCACCACTCTACCATTGAGCCACCGCGCATCACCCGTGCATTGTAGTGGAGATTCAGTAACGACAGCTAAATCAAAATGTCTCCCAAAACATGTGGTTTATTGTAATTTGTTATATCGTTTTTCTGGCTGGCATATTATTTTATCGTATTTTCGTATTCTAATATACGAGATATTATTGAAGTGGTGTATTGGGAAGTTTCTGAAAATTCCATGCATATGTCTGAAACCGGAGTTTTTATTTAGTTTCATGGAGAATAATCAGTTATTTCATGAGGATACCAATTAATTTGTATTTTACCTGTTTATATGCTTGTGTATTTATCTATTTCGTTTTTGCTGCTGAATTCGTTCTAACCAAGCAGGGCCCCACGGAAGACCACCAAAGTGGTGATATGTGCCACCCTGTATAAATATCAGAAATAAATCAATAAATCAATAAATACATGTAAATACATTCTTTTTGAGGTGTTGAATTTTGATACTTTTGTGATATTTATTTTGAATAAAATGGATATTCAAATAGATTTTTCATTGATTTTCCTGACGTTTTACAGATAAACTCATAATTCATGAGATACATTCTTCAAGAGCAGTTGTTGTATATTGCTGTTGTTGTACATTGTTGTTGTTGTTGTTGCTGCTGCTGCTATTGCTGCCGTTTTTATAGGGTACTTGTCGTATCAAAAGGCATCACCAACGACATTATACGGTCCTAAACCGAGGTCCGTCAGAGTCAGAGATGGGTATATAATATAAGCTAAAGCTAAATACATGTGGGTGACGGTGTGTGTGCGTGTGTATGTGGGTGTCATTTGGATTTTAAAGACATACATCAATCAGATATGATTTATCAAATCTGGAGATCGACGTAAATAAAATACACCAACATGCGAAAGACGTGATTAGCCTTAAACTGAGGTTCTTCAGAGTCAAAGAGATGGGCATAGATACGCTATAATTTACTAAATTGTCATATTCGTTTGAGTGACTTTTGAGCGTGCGTGTATGTGTGTTGGTGTAGTACGGATTTTAAAGACGTGTACCAATCAGACAAGTCTGGAGACCGACCTTCAAGTTCAAAAGGCATCAACATCCGAAAGAGGTTGACCGTACTACTACACCAACTCACATCCCCTTCCAAAGAGTGGTATATAAATTGACATGTACGTTTCGGTTAATGCACTTTCTCTTAATTTAAAGACCCCCCCCCCCCCCATACCCTGATGATATTGACATAGCTTAGAGAAACAGGGAAAGAGAGGATTTCTAGAATGACAAGAGAGTAGGACAACTTTTAATATAAACATAAAATATAAGGGAAGAAAATATACAATTAAGAGAGAGAGAGAGAGAGAGGGGGGTAATAAAGCGAGAGTGGAGGGAGGGAGGGAAGAAAGATAGAGGGGAAGGAGTGGAGAGGGGAAAAGAGAGAGGGTGAAAGAGACAGAGACAGAGGCAGAGAGAAGGAGAGAGTAGGAGAGAAAGTGAAAGTGGTGGGAGAGGGAGAGAGAGAGAGAGAGACAGAGAGCGAGACCCTAAGAAAAAGAGGAAAGAAGATGAGGAGATGATATAGCGGCTCAAATAATAATAATGATGAAAATAATAAAACGGTGCCTACAAAGCGCTTTCCATCGAAGTCTCTAAAATAACAGATGGTGTTGCATTAGCATAATTATGTCCCTTTCAGTCAGGCTCTACGTAATATCCTAATCCTATCCGAGGCTCTCTATTAAGATGATAACTATGTTTGAAATTATGAAGAGATGACAAATTCGGCTCTGTAATGGATTAGGAATCCTTGGCTCCAGAGGAAAGATAAAGATTGCTTTCGTTATAAATAGGGAGGTTTGGTGGTGAAGCAGCATTCATTCTTTTCTACGCTTCCCAGTCTACTCGCAATCAATCAGGTAAGTTTGTTATATTTTTACAAATTATATTTTTATACCATTTTTGAGCGGGATCTCCAGTCAAATTGAAGTGATTCCTAATTCTGACTTTGAAAAGTGAACTTCCATTCCTGTCCATTTAGCCCTAGAGAGTAATCTATAAGTCTTGATTTTCTCAAGAACGGTTTTTTTTTTTTTTACTTCGTTTTCCTGATTCTTACCTGCTAGTTATTTTTTTTCGTTGTCGTTTCCTTAATGTTGCCTCACTTCCTAAATTGATCACAGGACCAACCATGAAGGCCTTCTACGTGTTCATCGCCGTCGCCGTCATCGTCGCCTCCGTGGCCGCCATGGAAGATGAAGAGGAGGAGCTTTTCCAGATGCTCGAGAAGCGCTCCCTGGATACCGACGAGGTTGAAGAGATGCTCTTCGGCAGCGAACCCATGGTCAAGCGTGGACGATTCAAATGTAAGTCTTATCACTGCAACTTAAAAGGATCGTTTTACAGCGTTAAATCTGAGCTGCACGGCCCTACATGTTATCAGTGTCTGTGATATGGTGTTATATTGAAGCCCTAACAAAATTGCGCTTCAAAATGATCAAGAAGTGCCTCAAAAAGTAAAAACCTTTGAGTGACCGGTCTTTCCATACTCGTTTACCCCCGAAAGATTGTAGTGTTATGAAAACCGTTTGGTAAACGCAAAATTTGATTTCGGTTTTCAATCATAAATATATTGATAATCAGACAGGCGATCGGCTTGTAAAAGTCATGGGGTTCCTGACTGACCTACAGGTTTATAATTAATATTGCAGCATGAGCTAAACCAAGTATTTTTTAAAAGGATCTAAGACAAAATTACCGGATCCCTTTAAAGAATACGCGAGGAATAAGGGTGACGTACATAAGTATTCATAGGCTCATGCTGTTCTTGAAAATATATGTTACAAAACAATTAACATTACTGCACTTATCACCCCCTAAGTATTCGCAATGAGACAGAGTTAAATTTGCCATTATTGCTTTAAAAGATTATTTGTTTTCCTTCATCCTTTGTACCACTCTGTTTACACGGCCGGCCAAGTTGGCAGTTAACATTTCTTTAACAGTGTCTCACTCGGGAGGCACTCGTTTTTACGAAGGCTAACGATTCCTAAGGTTCGTAATTCCGAAAATTATATTTCGTCATTCTGGTGATTCGTTCATCCGAAGTTTCATAATTCCGAAATTGGAATGGAGTTCGTTATATTAAACGAAGGTTCGTCATTCCAAAGGTTCGTCATTCTGAAAAAACGATACACGCCCATGTTTAATTCTCGGAATTATCAACCTCCTTAATTATGAACCGTCGGAGAAACGAATCTCCGTTTAAATGAACCTTATCTAAAACTCTTCTTTTTTTTTATACTGAGAAGTCACATAGTGCTGGTTGTCATGAAATGACTACATACTGTATTACTCTACTGAGCGTATGCTTACTTATAATATGCAACAAAAGTGAATTCACCCGAAACAAAACAAAAAATAGGTTCCATTGTAACTTTTTACAAAGTGGGATCAAAAGATAGAGTCGGCCTTCTGTGAATTTTGTGTACGCAACAAAAATTATTCTCAAAAAAGGTGTAGGGCACCTAAGGATATAAGGGAGGACTAAAAGAAAAGGGAACAAGAGCGAATATATCCCTTAACTGCATCACATTTGTAGAAACAAATACCTGATCTGAAGAAAAGTCAATATTTCGTTAGGTCCTTATCATGATTATTGTCTCTAAGCTGTTGACCAACAATACTTATGTCTGTAGTTGCATGCAGTATCCCAACCTTGGCATTTTTAGGGGCAAAGTGTCGTGGTGGGACTCGAACCGCGATCCATGGGATTCACAGTCCGGTGACTTATCCACTAGACCACGACACCTTTACATAAATAACTCAGTTATATGAGAAGACAAGTTAATCTTTTGAGAATGTGACTTTATCTTGTGAATTTTCATTATTGACTTACAACTATGCTATGAGATCCTAAGCATAACACATGCTAGCCTATAGCTGCAATTATTTCTCTTGGTCGGAAATCTGTCACATGGGGCAAGTGCCCCCCCCCTCCCTCCACGCCGCCCCTCTTTCAGATACGGTAGTGATGCTCGCTCTTTCTCTTTGTTTTGTGTGTGTTCATACAGTCTGTAACAACGCTCATGGAGACCAGTGCATCTGTGACAAGAAATTCAGGAACTCCAGCAGGAGACGTTACGTCAACTGCGTGCCCAAGAACAAGGGAACCCCCGTCTAAGCACACCCTTCACCATTGTATACCCAACCACATCAACATCATGTTACCAGGTTTGTCAATAATTTGTTGATATTCATTTATGAGCACACTTATATTTTGTATAAATGCTTACCGACAAAGTGTCTCCCCCCCCCCCCCCGCCCGACCATTTGTCTATCCTGCCTGAATCAAAG